ACGAGAGATATTATTGTTTGTATTAGAGAAAAACAACGTTATTTAAAATTATATAAGAAATTCAAATTTGCCCTATACAAAGATAAAGTCTCCAATCTTAGGAAAATTATTAGAAAAAAAACACGTGAAGAATATCAGAAATTTTTAAAGGTTGCAGAAGACACCATACAAACAGATCCTAAAAATTTATGGAAGTTTATTGATAATAAAAGAAATGCTAGTAGAATTCCAGGAAATATGACATATGAAGATGAGTCTTTAACATCAGCTGAAGATATAGTGAATGGATTTGCTAGACATTTCCGGAATGTTTACCATCGTGATAGCAAATGTGTCTGTGATGTAAATTGTGATGAATGGTCTTTCTGTGATATTTGTAAAATGAAAACGTCCAATTGTGTTCTAATTAACTGTGATAAAACCAACTGTGATATATTTAGTAATGCTCAAAATGTGCTACATAATTTCAATATCACCTGCGACGATATCTACGCTGTTGGAAGAAAACTAAAAAATACGCATACTATGGGACCGGATAACATACCATCCTTCCTGGTGCGGGATTGTTTACCCTGTTTCGTACGACCTCTATTATATATTTTTAATTTAATAATAAATACGGCGCATTTTCCCAAAAAGTGGAAATTTTCGAGGGTATGTCCAGTTTTCAAATCAGGATCTAAGAATGATGTAAGCAATTATAGACCCATAAATTTGCTGAACAACTTTGCTAAATTGTTTGAGGGAGTGATAGCTAAAGTTATAATTAGTCATGTATCGGGGATGATAGCACAGCAGCAGCATGGATTTGTAAAAGGTCGATCAACGGTGACCAACCTATGTGAATTTGTGCAGTATGTTTCGAATGCTCTTGACAATAAAAAACAGGTGGATGTTATATATACCGATCTAAGTAAGGCGTTTGATCGAGTAGATCACTGTATGTTAATTAACAAACTAAAACAATATGGATTATGTGATAATATAATTAAGTTATTCTGTTCATTAATACGTCACAGATTTCAGTATGTAGAATATGTAGGCACTAGATCGCAATTATATCAAGTCTATTCAGGTGTGACACAAGGGTCGAACTTGGGGCCTTTGCTATTTCTAATGTTTGTTAATGATATCGTCAAAGTGTTGAAGTGTAAGCTCTTTCTGTATGCGGATGACCTAAAAATTGTGAAGATAATTACAAACAAAAATGATTGTGAGTATTTACAAAATAATTTAGATGTATTTCTACTCTGGTGTAGCAATAATTATTTAAAAGTAAACAACAAAAAGTGCAAAATAATAACTTTTAGTAGAAAATCGGAAAGTATTAGATACAGGTACCATATTAATAATGTTGAACTTGAAAGATGTATGCAGTTAATGGATCTTGGTGTTGTTATGGATTGCACGCTCTCGTTTGTACCTCACGTAAATTATGTTGTTAATTCAGCTATTAAAATGTTAGGTTTTATTACACGTAACACGTCTCAATTTAAAAATGTAAATTGTTTAAAATTGTTGTACACATCGTTAGTGAGAAGCAAGTTAGAATATTGTTGCGTGGTGTGGTCCCCTTTTTATAATGTACATATTAGTGACATAGAGCGGGTTCAAAGAAGATTTCTTAAGAGATTGTATTTTGTCAAATATGGTACTTATCCACAGAAACAATTTCCACATGAAATATTATTGAGAGAATTTAATGAAACTACATTGTGTTCTAGGCGAAATTTTTGTAGTGTACTATTCTTGTATAAGTTAATCCATAGTACTGTTGATTCTACTGAATTGTTGAGTCAAATTAATTTTAATGTTCCTAAATATGGTACCCGCTCTTCAGTTACATTTACTTTCAATACACCATCCACTAACCAACATATGCACTCTCCATTGGTAAATATGGTCAGATTGTATAATAACGTGCAACAGTTTGTTGATATTTTCGTAAATATATCTGAATTTATAGAAAATGCTAGAACAGCTTTGTTACATTAGCTAGACTTTAGAGAAAGTTTCTATTTTTATTTTTATTTTTATTTTTATTTTGTATTGGAATTTATATGATATATATATATTACCCTGATATATACCCTATATTAAACATTAAATGTTTGCTGGGTTAATAAATACTTATTATTATTATTATTATTATTATTATCACGCTTATTTCCTTAATAATAGAATTTTTTTGTTATAATTTTTTTACATGAATAAAAGTCAACTAATAAAGAAGTAAACAAACATGATATAAATGGTGCCCTGTAACCCCCTCACTCTTAAGTAATTAATATAAATACGTCACTTGACTACTCAAGGTAATTTAAGGTACAACATATGTTAAAACTTACAAATGATTAAAAAAATTCTAACTTAACTTGTAAATTTCACATTTCAAGATAGATTTGATATTACTTAATACGAACTTTCCAGTTAAATTTGATATTGCTTAATATGAACTTGAAACTCGATCATTATAAATATGGTGCAAGAAATTGGGAGAGTTATTAAGCTCCACACATGATTTGTGGAAGGTTACTTGATTAGGCGCATTAAAATCCAGTTTTTCGTAAGGTAATTGATTAAACAGTACTGACTTATTCACTGTAAAGACGATCATTCAAATATCAATGTCTCTAATAAATTATAATTCCACCGCAAAAGAAAATGGTTTCTAAAGTTGAATTCCAATGTTGTCACCTTCGTTAGTTAATAATCTTGAGTTCTAACACACAGTTCTAAGAAAACTTACTCAGTTCTAAGCATGTTAGTGACAATCGCAGTGACGATAATTAGTACTTTTGGACTAATTATATTGGCAGAATCAAGACAACTTTACAATCCGGTACACCATCTCCAAAAGTGAGTACCTTTTTCATCACCAATTATTTTAAAGGTCGAAACAATCGAGGACCAAGGTTACAATTACGAAAATCACTTCATAACAACCGAAGACGGTTACATTCTAATGTACCATAGAATACCACATGGGAAATACACCCAAAACTCACGCCAAAAACCCGCCGCACTACTAATGCACGGAATTGGATCCACATCCGCCGAATTCGTCTTCGGCAACCCTAAAGGCAACCTTGCCTTTATTTTGGCAGATTTGGGGTACGACGTGTGGTTGGGTAATGCGCGTGGTACCGTGTGGTCCCGAAACCACACGACCCTCGACCCGGGTGCCGACGCTAAGCGGTTCTTCGATTTCAGCTGGCACGAAATTGGGTACTACGATTTGGCAGCTGCCATTGACTACATTTTAGCCACAACGAAAACCAAAAAGCTACACTATATCGGGCACTCCCAAGGGGGTACGGCCTTTTTGGTTCTAGCATCTACCAGGCCCTCATATAATAAAAAAATCCGCCTGGCTTCACTTTTATCTCCAGCTGTTGTCACGTCTGAAACCAAAATCCCCTTTTTGAAAAACGCAGTTCCACTTTTAGAAGACGTGGAAACGCTGTTACAGTTTCTTAAAATCTATGAACTTCCTTTTACGTTCGAAATAAGAAAATTTTTGTCTTCTTACTGTAAACAACCTGGTTCCTATAGTCTGTGCTCAACACTCATGTATATAGCTGGTCAAAACGGACCTCTTGAGAAAGTAATTCTGTTTATTTACTCTAGAGGATGTATTTATCTATAACAGTTTTTTTAGGATCAGCTTCCCATTATTTTTTCCGATTTTCCAAACAGTGCCGCTATTAAGCAGTACCTTCACTTTGCACAGGGAGTCAGAAATAGTACTACGATTTGCATATATATTTATAAAGTTGACTGAATGTTCTACTTTTTAGATAGATTTGCTGAATATGATTACGGACCTAAAAAGAATATACAAATGTATGGAAGAAAAACTCCTCCGAGTTACGATTTGTCGAAAATCTCAGTTCCCGTCGCTATATACTACAGCAAATATGACCGTGTCGTAAACTACAAGGTAATTTGTACAACGCTTGTATAAATATACTACGTTTTTTCTGTAGGATATTAACACGTTGATCAAACGTCTGCGAAACGTAGTTCACACATACCTGGTCACAGCTGACGTAGGTCACGTTAAAATTAGATGTCTTCAAGAGATTATTAATCCCATTGACGGAGAATTGATAAAAATAATGCAAAAATATTAAAAAATAAAAACATCTTAATCTGATTCTTTGGAGTGACTAAACCCCCTGTCATAAAAATAAAAAACTCGCAATAAAATTTCCATATAAGAATTTAGCAAATGCAGTAACCATCTGAATATGAATTGTAGAAGCTGGGACGTAATCATGGTAATTAGACGGTGCACATAATTATAGCTACAAAGTTCAATTCAGGAACTGTAATTTATACAAAACCCACGTTTGCGGAATAAAAATTGTGTTCATTTTCAATTTCCAGATTAGTTTTATTTCCAAAACAAAATTAAAGAGATCACTCAATTCAATAAACACTCATTCTCTTCTAATACTACTACAACCATTGAAGAAAAATTCTGTAGGTAAGTAATTTGTTTACATAACTTTTATTACACTTCAAGTGATTAAAAATCAGAAATAAAAACATACTATAACGTCAGTCTATTATTGCATTATAATTTTTATTTCGACGAGGCGGCAAAAATCAGTTTAATCTAACAATTATCTATAGACACTTTAAGTAGTTAACATTATATTCTAACTCTAATTTTTATAAAAAATTTGCGATTTTTAAAGTCTGCCTGTAGTTTTAATCCATTGTTCAATTCCTCTTAGTATTTTCTTTGTCCTTGAAGAAGCAGCAATTATAACGTTGGCTCTAATGACAATACAATGACAAGTCGAAATTGCCTATTTCAAAAGCTTTCAGGTGAGTACTTCACCTCAAGTACACCTATTTAACAAAAGTAACTAGAACACAGTTACTAGGTATATATTCGTACCCGCTTCACAATCAGTTGTTTTTTCATATAACAAACAAAATTAATCTCAAACAATCAAAATTGATTTTATAATCGATAAGATTCAACTTTAAAACACTCAGAACCGCATTCTCCGCATCAAAATATAAACATGACTCTTCTCGTCACCGTTTTTGGAACTCTGCTTCTAACCCATCATGGGTTTTCTTCGTCCGTGAATCCTCTGGACGATCCGGATGTTGGTTTGGACACAGTAAGTTCCTTCATTAAGATCTTCGATTTATAACGTTCCAGTGCATGTCTAGATTCAAATGATCGAAAGCCATGGTTATCCGTGCGAAAGCCACAATATCGTAACCGAAGATGGGTACATTTTGACGTACCACAGAATTCCGCATGGTATCGACAACCCAGTAGTCGGTACTAAACCGGTACTTCTCATGCACGGTGCTAGTTGTTCTTCGGCGGATTTCGTCAACATGGGTCCGGAGCGCAGCTTGGGTTATATTTTGGCAGATAAAGGGTACGACGTCTGGATCGGGAATGCTCGAGGGACGGCATGGTCTAGAAACCATACGACGTTGGATGTGGTGACGGATGCTGCAGAGTTCTTTGATTTTAGCTGGCATGAGGTGGGTTACTATGATCTACCAGCTGCCATAGACTATATTTTGGATGTTAATGGCGATGATAGTTTGCATTATGTGGGGCACTCCTATGGTACTACGAATTTCTTGGTACTGGCAACCACTAGGCCTGAATATAACAGCAAGATCAAGTTGGCGTCGCTTTTGGCACCCGTTTCTAGGATGGAGCATCAAAAAAATCAGCTTCTTGTGATTGTTGCTAAGTACATAGACAGAATAGCAGCGCTAGCCGACAAGTACCACCTCTATGAAATACCACTGGTTGATCAAATACGGGAGATCGGTGTTTCGCTTTGCTCACAGCCGGCATATTTCAGCGTATGCGAAAAAATTCTTTTTACTATAGTAGGTGAGGATGAACCCGAGTTTGATCTAGTGAGTAGCGCTTGTAGCAGGAAGTTTCAACAACAGTAATTTGATAATTTTAGAACAAAATCGCAGTACTTTTGAGTAATACACCGTCTAATACTGGTCTAAAGCAGTTTTACCATTCCGCACAAGAAGTGAAGAACGGTAATGTCAATTTTTTAAACGGACGTATACACCTCATTTATTTTGATTTGAAACATCACTTAATGAAAATAGACGAGGGATATAATTCATATTTTTAGGCGGATTTTCCCAGTACGACTATGGAGCAGCTAAAAATCTCGAGATTTATGGCAGTGAAACACCGCCAAGCTACGATATTTCGAAAATTTCATCCCCCGTGGCTCTGTATTACGGAAAAAATGACGCTGTGGTCAATCCCGAGGTAACGTTAAAAAACAAAAATCCCTAACTCTAAACAACTGGATTTTAGGATGTAGCGGAACTTCTTAGCGAATTACCGAACGCGGTAAATGATTACTTGGTCTCGTTCGAGCTTTTTAACCATTTTGACTTCTTATTTGCCATCGATGTGGTGGAATTGTTGTATACGGAGTTGATCAGTGTAATGGACAAGTATTAAAACTTACCAAAGCGCAACAGTATCCAAAATCACTTACAATCTTGATTTACCCCGAACTTTGGTATAAATATCCATTTACCGCACAAAATTCAAAAACTCGATCGACTTTTGACAACCGACGCAGCTAAATCCGTACACCATGTGTAGGACACGGCACAAAATTTTCTGGTTTTATAAAATTAATAAATAATCGCGTGAGTGATTAGTTCTGTACAAACAAAATAAAAACGTCTTTTAAGTACAAATTTCCGTGTTGTTTTAATTTTTGTAACCATAATGGCGAAATCTTTGCGCAAATTTAGTGCCGCTTTGTGTTTCAATGTCACGAACTACCAAAGTTATGCAACCAGTAAAATCGGTGTGTGTATTCAGTTAATTAAATTATCAATTTTCATTCATAATTAAAGTTTTGGTTGCCCTTTTTCACCCACACAGTATTAAAATATCCTTTTTTCGTACGACTAGACTGGTTTTCATTGTTTTATCTACACCGTTTGATGCGAAAGAAGTTTGAGGTTATGTTCTCTCAGGTGCACAACGTGAACAAAATCTGCGGCCGGTGTTACGTTTAGCCATTTTTATCAATAAAACTCGAAAAGAGCGCCTAGTTACAGTCTCGTATGACAGGACAGAACAAATTCTCAATTGGTTTGTCATTTCTGGCACATGAAAACCGCAATGTGTAAATCTTCCTTATAACGGTGTCCTCTTTTGAAAAACCAAAAATTTACCCCCATCATGTTCCGAATAAACCATTTGCTAAAACTCAGAAACGTGAGCCTTAAACTTATCCAGAAATCTCCAGTTGAAAGGGCATCATGTTTTGGTAAGTCCACTCCACTTTGACACCCCTCAAACGTGCAATTTTTAGCTGTACAGCGTGTAGATTTCCACCGAGTCGTTCGATTCTATTCAAGAGACAAAGACGACCCCAGTAAAAAGGTACCAAAAATTGATGAGAAAACCTGTGATGAAAAAAAACTCAAAAAAGAACGTAAAGTTGTCCTTCGTGATTGTAAACCTGTCGATATCCATCCTTGCCACCCTCCTAAACCTGGTGCCCAATCGGTATTTGTTGTTAAGAGGTAAACAAATCACTGATTTAGGTTTTTATAGCGTCTACCACATATAAATGAGGATGAGTGCCCCCCAAAACCCACGCTTGAGGAAGAATGCCCGCAGGCTAAGATAGAGCCCCCTCCGGTGTGCCCCCACGATAGGGGCAGCTGGTGGGACAACTACAAGAATGCGATAATTGCAGGGCTTCTTCTAGCGGCAGCAACTTTAGGCGCGGTTTGTTGATATTAATTGTTTGTATTTTTCCCTCTAACTTAGTTTTTCAGTTACTCTTGGCTGGCCAGGGCGATAAAGTAGAGGAAGTTGTGGAAAAGAAGAAGGAAGTTGAAAAGAAGAAAAAATCAAAGAGGGTCCCCATTAAAGATCCACCCACATCAGCCGATATTCCAAATAAAGTCCCATATCTTCTCATAGGAGGGGGCACCGCGTCATTCGCGGCCTTTCGTGCCATCAAATCGGCGGACCCCAAAGCAAAAGTGATTATTTTGTTTGTATAAAAAAAATTGAAGCTAAAGTTAGGTTAGGTTTTAGTTATTACTAATGAGTCGTTTCACCCTTACATGCGGCCCCCTCTTTCTAAAGAAATGTGGTACAACGAGGATGCAGAAGCAGTAAAAAAGCTCATTTTTAAACAATGGAACGGTTCCGAGCGAAAGTAATATTATTTTTATTGTCATTATCTTTGTGTGATGACGTCATTTCAGCCTGTTTTACGAACCAGATGACTTCTACATCAAGTGTACACAGTTGATTCAAAATCCGAATGGGGGCGTCGCAGTCGCTCGAGGTTATACAGTCACCCATCTTGACGTCTACAACCGTATTGCATACCTTGACGATGGATACGCTATCGAGTACGACAAATGTCTCCTCGCTACAGGTTTCTGATTATTTTTGCCATTATTATTAGTCTTGACTGTTGTTCATAGGTGCCAACCCAAAAATGCTAAACGTTTTTGACGCCGCCTGTTCATCTGACCCCAACGTGGACGAAAGAGTGATGCTTTTCCGAAACATTTTTGATTTTGAGGACGTCTTTGAAGCTTTTGAGGCGTCTAAGTCGGTGGCGATCATAGGCGGCGGGTTCTTGGGCAGCGAACTGGCTTGTGCTTTAGCGCGGAAAGGTTGGTAGTGGTATTACCTCCCTCAATCTTAAACGTAGATACAATTTTAATATTCAGGCAAAAAGAAAAACCGGGACGTGTACCAAATCTTCCGCGAGAGCGGCAACATGGGCAAAATCCTCCCCGAGTACCTCAGTAACTGGACAACTGAAAAAGTGAAAGCGGAGGGCGTCCACGTTTTAAAAAACACAGAAGTCATAGGCGTAAAATTCGAAGATGGCCGCCTTTTGCTCGTCCTCAGCGACGGCAAAATGATCTCCGTGGACCACGCGATCGTCGCCGTGGGCGTAGAACCCAACACCGACGTAGCGGAAAAGTCAGGCCTCGAAGTGGACCCCGAACTGGGTGGATTCCTCGTCAACACCGAGCTGATGGCCAGGTCCCACCTATACATAGCCGGCGATTGCGCCTGCTTCTACGACACGAAGTTGGGGCGGCGACGAGTGGAGCACCACGACCACGCGGTAGTCACGGGCCGGCTAGCCGGGGAGAACATGACGGGCGGCAGAAACCCCTACTTGCACCAGAGCATGTTCTGGTCGGACCTCGGACCCGACGTGGGGTACGAAGCTATCGGGGTTGTGGACGCGAGTTTGCCCACGGTAGGCGTGTTCGCCAAGGGGTCGGACAAGGACACCCCCAAGGCGGTGGTCACGGAAACGGGAGAAGGGATAAGGTCGAAGACTGAGGCGCAGCAAAGCGAGAACAAGAACAAAAGCCAAGAGAAGGAAGGAGACGAGGAGAAGAAGGAAGAAAGTAGTCAGGATTATGGAAAAGGAGTCGTTTTTTATTTAAGGGATGATGTGGTAGTCGGAATTGTGTTGTGGAACGTATTCAATCGAATGGCGACTGCTAGGCAAGTGCTGAAGGATGAGCGCAAGTACGACGATCTCAACGAAGTGGCGAAACTTTTCAACATTCACGAAGATTAATCTACATTCCGGCACGCGCCATGAATTTTTGCAGTTTGTTTGTGTGAGAAGTTGGAGCTTCGATTGATTCGTTCTATTGTATATAGAAAGAAGTTTAAAAATAAATGTCAACTTTGCCACACGCATTTTTCACTAGTACGGTGGGGGTTCTGGGATAGAATACTGTATTTAACAATTAACAGAATATACATATATGTATGTTCGGTTCGCGAAGAAGAGGGGACTCGTTGCAAATAATAATACACACAGGCACACCTACTTTCTACTTTAGTAGAAACGACATCAACTTGTTCTACTAAAAATCAATTTTATTAAAGTTTGTGTGAATTCCGATACCTTTTCATCAGACCGTCGATCAAAGTCATGTAGTCATCTAATCTAAAGTCACTTAAGTCAGTCATCTGAAAAAGTAAGATAAGCACTGGAAAAATTGCCGTACTTACTCATACTTTAAATATATTTTCTACGTCCATGCTGTGGGTTAGTGTACAAATTCGGTCACTTAGGTGTTCAAAAATGGCCACCATGTAGTAAATGAGACACTCAACCGGATACAAAACCGAGAAGATTAAGAAATTACAAATCTCTTCAAACCTGAGATAGTTGAAAAAAGTCTGTTTTAACCACGACTGGACTACGACGTCTGGGGAAACGCCTAACATCTATAACAATAGTATGAGACAGTACCTAAACCATTTGAAAAAACGTACTTTCAGTGCCTGGAAACACGAACAGTTTTCTTCCAACACCGCAGCCAAGTGTTGATAGAAGTTCTCCTGTAGCACGTCATCAAATTCTCTCCCAAAAGTGTCCCATATGAATGACGTCACTTGTGTGTTGGTAACATTGACCAAAACTGACTTACACTGGTCGAAATTTCCCCCAGTAATTAAGAAAATGATTGCCACAAACCAGTCAAAACCGAAAAAATGCTCGGGTTTGTGGTTAATGAAGGCTCTCGACTGTTTTATTAAAAGAGTTAAGGTTTCCATGTGGGTGTCATCTTCCCCTATTTTTAGTAAACCGGCTTTTTGGCCAAAACTGTAAATAAATAGTACAAACTTCAGCGACTAGTTGAATTTGATGTAGTTGAAGGTAAGCGAAGAAAAATTGAACCACACGTCACCCGCTTGCCGGGCAGGTGCCCTTACCACTAGACCCCGAGGCCGCTTATTTTTCTCCGCTTACCAATGTGTTATTGTGCCGTCACATATTTAAATAGGTACCCGATAATTAGAGAAATCCCTGAAAAATCTTCTGGGTGTAGTTGATAATATACACAGTCTGGTGGGGGCCAGTGCAGTTCGATTTTTCGGTAGACGTACGTTTTGGGGATTTGTTCAAGTAAAGTGGGAAAAAGAGAAGGCTAAAATTTGTCAGTTAAGTAGTGACAAACATAAATAAACAATAAGTAATTTGGTACGTCAAAGGCGTGCATCGAGTTTCTAAAGCAACGTCTTGCTTGTGACAACCAGTTAACTTCGCCACTGCTCCCTCCACCATCCAGAAACAATCTTAGTTCATTGTTTTCTTTAAAGTGAAGAAATTCGAAGATTTGTGGCAACTCTTGAAGCGTAATTTCAGTGATTTCTTCCCGCACAAATCCGACAAATTCCAAAGACACCAAAATATGATTCCTCAAGCTACTCTGCGCATCGACAATCTCCTCCCCCTCCCTCACAGCCGCCAGTTTTTCCTAGAAAAATCTTGAGTGAAAGTTATTATTCACAACTTCACACTCACTTGCATCTGATGATTAGCCTGCAAGTAGAGCAACAAATCCAAATTAACAATAAGCACTTTCATCGCCATTAGTCCAAGAAACTCTTCATCCGCCTCGTCACAATCGTTCAAACTTTTCTCCACCAACTCCACCAAATTAACACTTTGATCGTCACTTTCCACCACAGTAGCGTCGTCGTCGTCGTCCGACAACAACGCAACCACGCACCTCGTGCTCATTTTGACCACAAACAAGAAAAAAATAAATTTAGTTAACTCGGAATCGTCCATGTCTTCAGATCGAATTTTCTCCAGGTAAGTTCTGACGATGCGGTTGCGGTGAGCCTTAACAAACTCGAACCCGTTCTTATCGCCCCCGACCCCACACAAAACGAGCTTAAAGTCGCCACTCATACTAAAAGTTAACAAATCCACGAGGATTTCGTTATCACAACCCAAAATTCGGACCGTCGGTCCATACCAAGCGTACAAAAATTCAAAAATGGACAAAAGCGCGCCTTTTATCATGACGTCGTTCTTCCAGTTGAGTCGGTAAAACTCGTGCAGGTGTTGCAGAAACTTCGTGGGGTTCACCTGGATGAAAGACACGGGGTGGCTTTTGTAAATGCTGGCGCAACATTCCAGCAGTAGGATGACGGTTTCGGTGTTTAGGGGGTTCATTTTGAGTAGAGTTACACTAATGTCGATTATTTTTTGGGGTAAATTTGTGTAATTTCGGGTGATTTGGCGCGATCTACCTTTTCTTAGACTGCCGCAAACACCGAATAAGATTTTGAAGTTTGGAGAATTAGCAATGAGGGTGACTATGCTGATGATGTATTTGTGGGTTTCGATGGAGTTTCTCATGTTGCTGCGACTGATGACGGATAAGGGTTCGACTAAGACGTCTAGAAGTTTGGGGGTTAGTAGATAGGGGTTGTGGGAAAACAAATCGGTGATTAAGTCGGTTAGTTCTAGTTTTTTGCGCTGGTTGAATTTGGTGAGGGTTGCTTCAAGGGTGCTTTCTGTGCTTATTTCCGAACCGAGAAAATCGACGTTGTTTTTGTATTGCCAAAAGTATAGTAAAAAATAGGCGTAGCTTAACACATCTTCACTAGTGTTTAGTTTTTTTGTGAAAGTTGTGATAATGTGTTTGATAAAGTCGGAGTTTTGCTCTTTTAGTGTGTTGAAAAAGCAGTTTCTGATGTAGGAACCATAACACAAATTTTTTAGCCAGTGGTGTTTGGGGTCTAGAGTCCCGATAAGTTCGAAAATTGACTTGAAAGCGACAATGGCGGTAAAAGCGGTGACTGTGTCGTTAATTAGAGTTCGATTAGCATGCAAAAGAAACTTCAAAACGGAAGTTTGGGTTGCCAATACTAGCTGCAAGCTTTGACAAATACGATTTTTATGTAAATCGTTGAAATAGCGGCTATTTAGGAGAAGTGAAGTGCTTTTGAGGAGGTTTAAATACCCGTCGCAGATCGTGCCAGGAAAAGCTATAAGTCTATGGTGAATTTTCAAACTTCTGACAAAAACGTCATTACTCGTGCTTACGAAACATTTGCGCAAACTCTGCGCTAGCTCCTCCCATAGGTTTTGTTTGGTGTCTATAATTTGTGAGCTCAATAGTTTCTCCAACGTTTTTATTTTAATTACAGTGGAGTTGCTATTTAAGCCTTCGACTATCGTGGCGTAGTCGCAATGATTTAAATTAATCAACCACGATTCCGAGACTTCTACGGGCTTCTTGCTTTTTAAAATATCTTCTTCAATGGACTGCAAGTCCAGATTTTTAAAAATCTCGTGCACGTCACGCGACTCACTTTCGCTAATCAAGGCAGAAAGCGGCTCCTCCAAGGTGCCATTCGCTCTCTCCGCAACCATTCTTTGTAATAATTCAGAAGTTGTTTCTTTGTTCATGTTATTTTTATTGTTTTTACACACTGGTTGACATTAGTGACATTGACGTTTGTTTGTTTGCCATCGTCTCCAAGGTAACCGCGCGTTGCCATATTAGGAAACCCGAAATCCCCAACATTGTCATTGTCTGTCTGTTATTGTTGGTAAACACTGAACAGCTGTGTTTCTGACGTTTTTTGAAAAATTTTCGAAATTTTCGTGTTTTTTCCAAGAAAATAGGTAAGTATGAAGTTGTCGCCGCCCCCTGTGCCACCACGTCAACCCGCCAAATTCTTGCACGCTGACGACTTCCGCCTATTGCTCAACCCAGTCTTTTAATAGTACGACCCCTTTTTAATATAGCTGCAGCATTTCAGCGACGTGTCTCTCATTCCAACCTTGTAATGAGCGACGAGAACAATGAGCAAAAATTCGGGGGGACTTCCGACCCCCAAGATACGGGAACAGGTCCTCGGATCAGGACCCAGAGTGAGTGCTCCATTACCAGCGATGACGGGGCCCAAGGCAGCTCAGGGAAACGGTAAGCCCTCCACTAACCCCCAATTGCCACTACAGTTCGCCCCGTAGGCAGCGCACCACGTCAGCCCAGTTCATGGTGTCTTCAGGCATGACTGCCGCGTCGCCCCCCAAGTTCGTCACTCTCGAAGAAATCATGCAAGCGGCCAACGGGATGCGAGACATGGCGTTGGTGCACCAGATCGTCGTGGACGACGACTTCAAGCTGCAGAAGGTGGACCCCCCGCCGAATACGTTGCATCAAATGGTGAATGACACCATGAAGAAGGCGTTTTGGGACCTGCTGAGAAACGAACTAGGCGAGGATCCGCCTAGCTACACGCAGGTAATTATTCGGTGGGTGAATCACCAGCCCACTCGCGACCTTGTTGTGAACTTGCGAGGTGAATCACCTGTTGTCTAGGCTCTGGTTTTGCTCGAGGACATCAAGAAGGGACTGTTCGCCGTGCTTTTGCCACAACATACCAAAATCAAGCAGCAAATATCCGAGATTCTGGATGGGGATCTGATTAAGCAGCAAGCGGAAAACGGGGTTCTGGATTTTGGGGTGAGTTGGAGGTGTGTGGGTGGGCGGATTTGGTTTAATGAGGTAATTTCAGCATTACGCCCAGTATGTAATTTCCGTGATGGCGAAATTGTGCGCGCCTGTGAGAGATGATAAGATTAAGGAGTTGACGCAGACCGTGGATGTGGTGGACACGTTTAAGGGGATTCTTGAGGTAATGGGTCTTTAAGGTAGATTGGGGGTGTAAATGAGGATTGTGAGTTTTTGTTTGTTTCCTCTCCCACCACAAGTGATGACGTCATCAAAAAATTTTGTTGACGTAATTTCATTTTAAAGCGCAATATAAAATTTTACAGCTCAACTGGTGATTCAAGTCTATTCCTCGCCATTTATATCGTAGCAATATTGAGTAAATAATTTTTCTTGAATACAGTAAGGTTCTCATTAGAGTTTGTTTTACAGAAAATCTATGAAAAAATGTGCCCGGGGACGCTCGGAGTATTAGTGATATTTCACAAGACCATAAAAGTTGTCTAGACTCTAGAAAAGTATTTTAATAGGGTCCATTTGAGTTTTTGTCGATGTTTCATAACTCCTGTAGTATGAAAAAGTAGGTTTCGCGTTTCTGTCTGCCGTCTGACGTCTGTTTACGATTTTGTTAGACAGATAATCTCTAAGATCCGATTTATAGAAGCTCAATTAAATATTAATATTCCCACCAACAATTTGGTGACGTCATCTGAACATTTTGCAAAGTACATCGTACTTACTATTTATAAAATAAGACGCTTCTGTACAGATAACTTATAATTTTTATCATATTTATATAAATTTTTCTTCGACTTCTGGATTTTTGGACAATAAATCAACATACGGCTTATATTATAACCTTATCTTATCTTATCTTATTTGTGGGTTATCAGCGTATTTATTGTTTTATCCCTTATTTTTTTGTTTCATTTTTTGTCGCTTTTTTCGTAATTTTTGTCGCATTTTGGTCTTTCTTTTAGTACTTTTCCCCCACTTTTTTGTGTTCTTTTTTGACATTTTTTGTCAATTTTTTTTAGTCGTGTTTTCTTGCTATTTCTTCTTACCCCTTATTTGGCGCCTTTTTTTGTTTTTTTTTTTGCGCCTATTTTGCGTTTTTTTTTGTCGCTTATTTTGCTGCGGTCTTTTCGCGTTTCTTTTACTGGCCCGTTTTGTCTGTCATTCTTTGATCCTTTGTTGCTCTTTTTGTAGTGTTTTGGCACCATTTTTCTTTTTTCGCTTTTTCTCCTTTTTTTCATCTTTTCGTCTTCCTTTTTTCTGTTTTCTTTACCTTCTTCGTCTTTTTTGCGTTTGTTTTCTTCTTTTTTTCGTCATTTTTTTTGTCACATTTTGCTGTATTTTTTGAAATTCTTTTTTTTTGTTGTCTTTTTTTATGTTATTTTTGTCGTTTTTTATTGCGTTTTTATCGTTTTTTATTGCGTTTTTATCGTTTTTGTTTACCCATTTGCTTACTTTTTGTTTCTCTTTTTTGTACCTTTTTTTCTCGCTTTTTTAGACACATTTTTTGTGTTGTCATTTTGTGCCTTTTTTAATGGCCTTTGTTTGTCTTTTTTGTATCTTTTGAGTCGTCTTTTTTTCTCTTCTTTTTGTAATCGCATTTTTTGCACTTTTCTTTAGACACATGTTTGTTGCGTTTTTTAGGTTTTTTCGATTTTTTAAATTCTTTGATTTTTTGGAATTTTTGGATATTTCCGAATTTTTGGATCACTGGATTTCTTGAATCTCTTGCATTTTTTTGTAAATGTTTGGAATTTTTTGCTTTTCGGGTTTTTACATTTTTTTGAATCTTATGTTTTTTGGATTTTCTTAGATTCTTTGGATTCTTTCAACTTTTTAGACTTTTTTTGCTTCTTGGAGTTTTAATTTTTTTATTTTTTTGGATTTTTCAGTTTTTTTGGAATTTTGAGTTTCTTTGGATTCTTTTGATTCTTTGTATTACTTGGATTCTTTCGATTCTTCGGATTCTTCGCGTTCTTGGGATCCTTTGGATTTTTTTTGGATTCTTTGGATATTTTTTGGGTTTGTTCCATTTTATGTTTTATTATTTGTTTTTTTTTTTTTTTGGTGTCTTTGGGTTTTAGAATTACTGGATTCTCGAGTTTTTTTGAGTTTCTTGGATTTCTTTTGGATTGTTTGGTTATTTTAGATTTTTGGTTGTTTTTTTTGCTTCTTAATTTTGTAATTTTTTGGATTTTTTTGAGATATTTAAAATTTTTTGAATTTTTAGAATTATTATAGGGTTGATTTTTTTTAGGATATTTGTGTTTTTTTTTGGAAATATTCGATTTTTGGATCATCGAATTTCTTGAATTTCTGGCATATGTTGGAAATTTTTGAAATATTTGTGTGTCGATTTTTTGGATTTGTTTGAATATTTTAGATTTTTTGGATTTTTTAGAAATCTATGGAGTCTTTGGATTCGTCCAATTCAGTGGATTCTTTCAACTTTTTAGACTTTTTAGACTTTTTTTGCTTTTTGGATGTTTTGGATTTTTAATTTTTTTGATTCTTCAGTTTCTTCTTATTCTTTGGATTCATTGGATTTTGTTTTGGATTCTTCGGATTTTTTTGGATTTGTTTCATTTTTTCGATTATTTGAATATTTTTTTTAATTTTTTTTTTACTTTTTGATTTTTTGGTGTTTTTGGATTTTTGGAATTACTGGATTCTAGAGTTTTTTTGAGTTTCTTGGATTTCTTGGGTTTTTGGATTTCTTTCGGATTGTTTGAATATTGTTACGTTGGCGTGGGTACACTCAACAATCTATTTCTCAATGACTCAAATTTATACAACTAACTGCACAGAGGTTATGTACAAGAACTCAGCTGGACTCCGTCTTGATTGAACTGGCTGAATCAACTCGACTCGTTCACTAAATAGTCGTTCCCGACGGTGGTCTCTATTTAAACGCATACTCTCCTTCTAAAGGCTTCGTGATCGAGGTCTTTCTGGAATTCCGCTTCCAAGCCTTTATGCGAACGCCGCCCGGATGAGTCATCATCGTCGTACATACTAGAACCTATAGGCATGGTACCGGGGCGACATATGGGTTTCTTTCGTAACAATATTTTAGATTTTTGGGTTTTTTTGCTTCTTTATTTTGTAATTTTTTTGAAATGTTTTAAATTTTTTGGATTTTTAGAATTATTATAGGGTTGTTTTTGGGATTTTTTGGAAATTTTCGATTTTCTCAATGTCTTGCATTTGTTGCAACTTTTTGGAATTGTTTGATTTTCGATTGTTTGAATTTTTTAAATTTTTTAGGTTTCCATGGAGTCTTTGGATTTCTTCGATTCATTCGATTCTTTCAACTTTTTTGACATTTTAGCCTTTTTTGCTTTTTGGATTATTTGGACTTTTTTGGAATCTTTGGTTTTTTTTATTTTTTTAGTTTCCATTTTTTTGGATTTTTGGAATTATTGAATTCTCAATTTTATTTAAATTTCTTGGATTTCTTGAATTTCCCAAGTTTCTAGGGTTTTTGGATTTCTTTTGGATTGTCATTTGGAAGTTAATTTTAAGATTATTTTTTGGAAAAAACATGCATTTGTAATCCAAATGGAGTGAAATTACCATGCAAGGGTTTAAATTTGACGTTTATTTTTTTAACTATTTTTCCGGTCCTCTTTTAGATCAAAATTTGTACCCTTTTTGGTCCATTTTTTCGAATCCTCTTTTTTGTCACTTATTTTTGCAACTTTTTTCGCATTTTGTATTGGCTTTTTTTGTCCCGTTTTTTGGTCCGTATTTGCTTTTTTTTTCTTTTTTTTTTCACAATTTTCTTTTTTTATTTTAGCGCTTGCTTTCTTCATTTTTATGCCTTTTTTAAATCTTTTTTGCCGCCTTTTTTGTGTCTTTTTTAATGGTCCCTTTTGGTCAGCCATTTTTGTTCCTCCATTCGTCTACCTTTTGTTCTCATTTTTTGTCACCGTTTTTTTGATCGCTTTTTGTTGCTTATTTTGGTCGCCATTTTTTTGTCTCGTCCTTTGGTCCCTTTTTTAATCGTTGTTTTAATTTTTTGTGTTTTTTCTCCATTTTTTCATTATTTTAGTGCCTTTTTTTCTCTTTAGTCGAAATTTTTGGCACTTTTTTTGGTGACGTTTTTGGTGTCGCAATTTTTTTATTCCCCTTTTTTATCGCTTATTTTGCTGGTTTTTATTCGCGGTTTTTGCTGGCTTTTTTGTATCGTTTTTTGGTCACTAATTGCCTTCGTTTTGGCATCTTTTTTACCTTTTTTGTTGCGTAATCTTTTTCGTTTTTACTTCCCGAACGTAAATTAAAGAATTATAGTAATGGAGTCCATCGGACGAATGGTCACTTTTATATTTTCTCGACGTTTCATGACCCCAAGAGTACGAAAAAAGTAGTCTTCCCTTTCCGTTTATCTGTCTGGTGTCTGTTTCCATTCCATGTCCAACAATTTGATGACGTCATTTCGAAGAAATCTATTTTTATTTGATTTAACTGTTATACAACAATAGAGTCATATAAGTGGTGTATGAATCCGCTGTGTTTTTCCCTAACCGTCCAAATTTTTGCAAAAACATAATGCACGGTATAATAACAGTTTATCATTAACGTAAGGCATCCCGGTGGTGGTCCAGTGGTTACGAGTCAGGAATGTGGATCGGACGTCGCGTGTTCGATTCCACACTTAGCCTTTCGTTTTTTTTTTCTTTTTCTCTATGTTTATGACATCATAACAAATTTTTTATTGATGAAATTACCCCACTTTCTCGAAATGGTGAGAATACGCCCCTCTTTTAAAAATGTAAAATCTTCCCGGGAGGCCAAATGTCCTTTTTTTTTCAATGTGAAACCTTCTCGGCAGTCCCAACTGTCTTTTTTAAAATGTAAAACCTTCACGGGGACCCCAAATATATATTTTTAAGAATGTGAACCCTTCTCGGGGATCCCAATTGTCTTTTAAAAAATATAAAACCTTCTCGGGGGCGCCAAATGTCTTTTTTTTAATGTGAAATCTTCTCGGGGGTCCAAGCTGTCTTTTTTTAAAATGTAAAACCTTCACGGGGGTCTTAAATACATTTTTTTAAGAATGTGAAACCTTCTTGGGGGTCCCAATTGTCCTTTTTTAAAGAAGGCGAAACCTTCTCAGAGGCCCCAAGTGCCTTTTTTAAGAAGGTGAAACCTTCTTTTTTTCTGTTACACTGTGACTAGTACCATCTATATTGTTTTTACTCCATGGAGGTTATCACGAATTAGTAAAATTTCGCAAAATCAAATTTTACAATTTTTCAGAGCAGTATTCGTTGTATACTTCAGAAGCGAGGGAAGTTCTGTCGAAATAAACTTCGACCATTTTTTTAATTGCTTTCTTTTTCCTTTTTTTTCTTTTGTACACTTTATGTTTTCCCCTTTTTTGCCACCTTTTTTAGCGCCTCATTTTGTTCCCTTTTTGTATCCTTTTTATATTGCCATTTTTGTCGTTTTTATTGTCGCTTTCTTATTAAAAAATTAAGACACCACAAAATTTTATTAATAAAAACTTCTGTAAAAACATTATTATGTACCTATAGTTTAACAATCTACACATATCCTTATTTTTACATACATGTAGTGGATATCAACAAGAAAAATTTTAATGGCAAAATCAAATTTTATAATATAAGTTGTGTATAAATAACTGATTTTTTAAAATTCATGAACCAACAATTGTTCATTTTTCCCATAGACCCTCGACCTGATGAAGCTCGACATGGCCAACTTCACCCTCCAGATGGCCCGACCCGACATCATCGCGCACAGCGTCGAACTCGAGCGCAAAAAATTCGCCGATTTCCTAGCCGTCCAGACCGACGGGCTCGAGCACACGACAAAATGGCTGCTCAGACACGTCGACAAAAACGAAACGCCCCCTTCCAACTCCGCCTCGTACGAGAACTTCATTCGCTACGTGGTGAAGAAGGCGTCATGGGAGGCCTTCATCGACCTTCTGGACTGGGCGGAGGGCGAGCCGTACCCGGAGGTAAACGACACCGCTGCCATTGTAGACTTTGACATGTGTTTTCTCTTCAGACGTTCATGATCGATGAGACGCGATTGAGGGATCTGCAAATGAAAACGAATCGATTGACAGCAGTCGGGACCATTTTACTAGTGACTTTAAGCAATGCCGGTCCGGATTTGCAATCAATCGCCGAGTTCAAAGGTTCCCTCAAAGACCATATTACCATTCTCCTACAAAGTGTCAAAACTGACAAGTAAAGTAGAGGTGGGTGGATTGACGTTCTGTAAAAAAGCGGTTTTAGGGAGTTGAAGGAGGCGCTAGCAAACGTTGCGGAGCAGGTAATCAACGACGTCAAGGAAGCACAACGGAAGTATCAACTTGTGGAGATGGACGAAGTGAGCGAGGCGGTGCTGAGGCAACAGATTTTGAGTGTGAGCGACCCCAGCCACAAGATTAGAGGATTAGTTCGTGAGTTGGAGTATTACGAAGTTTTATTATCATTTTTTTAACTTTGTGTTTATTGCAGGTCAGCGCATTAAAGAATTCTTCATGGATATTATAGAGTCTTCGACGGCAGCACCGCAAAAAGTGCCCACCGGGCTGACTTCTCTCCAAAGAGAACTGGCGGCTATCGCAGGACAGTTCCTGCGAATTATCTCACACAACAATACAGTATTTTGCATTTATTATTATGATATTGTGTCGGCTGCTCTGCCTAAGCCAGCCTAATTATATTAATTCCGCTTTCTCATTTATTAGTTTCATTTTTAGTTCAATGTACTACTTAAACAGAATGGAAACTGTTGTGATAATTTTTAGTCAAATCGACCATGGAGAAAGGGCGCAATCTACTAACTGAGTCAAACAAACTCATTATTTTGTATGTGATACTGACCTTTGTATACCTAAAAACAATTTTAGACTAGATTTTTTAACAGATGTAAACCTGTAAGCGCAACGCAGTAAATAATTTTTATTTCAAACAGACACTTTGTTCTTATTTCTGGCCTGATTCAAGAAAATTGGTAATGAAACATTAGTATTGTCGTCTACCGTACGTGCCAACGCAAAACACATTATTGTTGAACCGAACTGTACTCATCCATTGCCGTTGTAAGTTATGCAACCAACATTACACTCGAACTTGATAATAGATAAAATGAACAAATAACATGAATTGAATTTGTAGTGTTTCGAAATAACTATGTAAAAAACACTAAAAGTGGTTTTAACAATTTAACAGTAAGTTACGCAATCGATAATAACCTCAATTTTGTACCTAACATGAAATGGGTCATTGTCCTTTGTCGTTCCAACACTCCATTAACAGTCGCTGCATTTAATTAATTACCCCCAAATAAACCCTCCCACCGCTTTGATGTTTCCAATTCGATAATCCCTCCATTTAAGGTCATTAAACCGATAAGAACTATCAGCCGGGCACTTGCCACATTCTTGATAAAGTCACACTCCAGACCACACCATGCGTTTGATAATTCTGGATACCGTTGATTCTGTATCAGAATGGGCCGCCAAGTACGTGATGAAAAGAATAAACGACTTCAACCCTGGACCTGACCGCTACTTTGTCCTGGGACTTCCAACAGGTAACCCATTGGTATAACTTAACCCCTGATTAATAAAAAATTTTAGGAGGTACCCCATTTGGTATGTACCAAAAACTGATTGATTATTACAAAGCCGGGAAAGTTTCATTCAAATACGTAAAGACGTTCAATATGGATGAGTATGTGAACCTTCCAAGGGATCATCCGGAAAGTTACCACTACTACATGTGGAACAACTTCTTCAAACACATAGACATCCAGCCCCAAAACGCGCACATTCTGGACGGTAATGCCCCAGATCTGGTGGAGGAGTGTACCACCTATGAGAAAAAAATTAGCGAAGCTGGGGGAATAGAGTTGTTCATTGGAGGTATAGGCCCCGATGGGCACATAGCTTTCAATGAACCCGGCTCTTCCTTGGTATCACGTACTAGAGTTAAAACTCTAGCACAAGATACCCTGGAAGCCAACGCTCGCTTTTTTAATAACGACATCAATAAGGTTCCTAAGCAGGCTTTGACTGTAGGAGTGGGGACAGTCATGGACGCTAAGGAGGTTAGTATGACTCAAGTTAAGTCACTCTACTGATTTATCTTCACAGGTGATGATTTTAATTACTGGTACCCACAAATCCTTTGCTTTGTACAAAGCAATAGAGGAAGGGGTCAACCACATGTGGACTGTGTCAGCCTTCCAACAACACCCTCACACTCTGATGATTTGCGACGAGGATGCCACTTTGGAATTACGGGTTAAGACTGTGAAATATTTCAAAGTGAGTATGACGTTGAACTGTGGAGTGGTTGCACACGGTTTTGGCTGTTTTTTGTTCTAATTTTGTTTTTGTTTTGTGTGTGTGGTAACACTTTGTTTTGTTTTCAACACAGGCACTGAGCATTGTCCATGATAAACTCATTGGAGAAGATATCTCTCTTGAAAGAATGAGGACCATTCATTAATTTTTATTCTTTTATTTTTAAGGTAATTGAGCATTAAATCACCACATTGTAACACTTATCAGTTTTATGGGGGATTTGGGTAGCATTTTTTGATTGATATGTTTGTTACAGAGCTTATCGGCGGTTCATAATCAACTGGTTGAGGGGTGATAGCGGTAATATGAAAGGCTTTTTTATAACTATCCTTTATTTTTATACAGTAAAAGTAATTGCTTTTTTGGTGATTACGTTGTTGCAGTCTATTCTGTGGTAATTTTTAATAAATGATGTTATGAATTGTTGGATATAATTTTAATTAACACATTTGTCATTACATAACCTATATTAGTGGCTTATGGCTCCACCTTTCAATATAGTCAAATATATTGACTTTAACAGTAAATTTTCGGAACTGATATGACCTCATTGAAACAAACATCCGCTAAAAGTTTTGCAGAGATGTATACAAATAGCTTTTTTTTTGTAAACAAGCAAGAAAACGGTGGCTACACACGTTCTACATAGACAGCAAACAGTGTTATTGTTTGTTTTGATATTGTGGATTGGTAACAGTTTTTTATGTGCATTGAGATTATGCCCAAATAAGTAAGCTTAAGACAGATGATCATTAAGGGCCATTTTATCTCAAACCTTAAACCGTCACTTCTGTACAGTCTCTGTTAACCAGCATTTAAATTTTGTTTTGAGTTAGTACAGTGTAATATATCGAATTACTTAAGTAAATATGTTTTTAGTAAATTTAGAGTTTGCAGATATTTTGTACATTGCGTAGGTATAGCTAAATCCATTATTGGCGTACACTTACAATAACAATGCCTTTATTTCTCTTGTGACCTAAATAACTATTATTGAATGAAATCGTAAGAATGAAAATGATCATTACAAATAGGGTTGTTTGTGGTCCCATTAGGTCATACTTCAACTATCTCATCTCATTGATAAGATATAAATTATAAACATCCCACGAAGGTGAAAAGTCAACCACAAGATAAACTAACACTCGATAACTATCAAAACCCGTGACAAAAACCACAAAATCTTTATCAATCTGTAAACACGTCGAAAACTTAAATTTCACACAAACTTTTCCACACTTTCATTTTCGTATCTTCCATAGTGAGCATGAAAATCAATTCGCGTTTACATTGATTCCATCAGTGGCAATAACGCGATGATGTATCGCCACTCAAACCTCAATTAACTTATCATAAAGATATTTTAGTCCTGGCAGTGATACGGTGCCAACAGTACAAACAACATGTCTGACCTAAAGATCCCAAATTTAGAAGACCTCCTCCAACTCGACGAAAAAATCGTCTCCACACAAATCAAATGTCTAACGGCACCGGGCGAAAATTACGGCAGTTTAATGTTAAGTGTGGATATCACCACCGAAACTACCGACCTACAAATTGTGGCCAAAACCCTCCCCCCGAATCCCAAAATGCAGGAAATGTTCAACTGCCCAGTGACCTTCCGCAACGAAATCGCGTTCTATAAATCAATCATTCCGACGTTACGCAGCTTCCAGAAGGAGCATGGGGTGAAGAAGGTGATGAATTTCGCAGCGAAGTACTACGGAAGTCGGCCGAATTTGCACCACAAAGACGAGAAGATCGATAAAGACGCGGTACTGCTTCTGGAGAATCTCAAGGTTAGTGGTTTCGTTAACCTGGAGCGGACCGAAGGGTTTGATTTGGATACCTCGAAGCTCATTCTGCACGATCTGGCGCAGCTGCACGGAATCAGCATCGCGCTAAAACTGCAAGAACCGAAAATCTTCAAGCAGTTGGTACAGCCGCTCATGGAGTCGCTGTCTGTGTCTAAAGAAGTACTCGATGATTGGGAAGACAAGTATTTGAAGATTATTCACAGCATTCCTCGACTAGAACCGTATTTAGATCGTTTGAAGAAGGTGAATCTAGACATTTACCCGCCGCCACCAGCCCGCGAACCCTTTGCTACCGTCTCCCACAACGACTGCTGGGTTAACAACACCATGGTACAACTCCAAAATGGGAAAGCAGTTCAAAGTAGGTTAGTCGATTTTCAAATCAGCGATTACGCGTCTCCGGCTAAAGATGTGTTGTTCTTTTTGTTTTCGAGCATCAAAAATGACATTCTGAGGAAGGAGTGTGACAATTTGATTCGGTACTATCATGACAATTTGATTGAAGTACTGAAGGAACTGAAGTGTGATACGCAACCCTTTTGTTTCGAGGAATTTCAGAAGGAGTTGGATTTTGAAGCGGTTCGTACGCAGTTCGCACATTTAGCTTTGATGCTTTTCCCAATTTTTGCACCCAAGTTGGATGTGAAAGATATGGCGGACATTAAACCCTCGGATATAGGGAATAACGAACCTACAGAGTTGCATAAGGAGAAGTTGGTGTTCATTGTGGAGGAGTTTGCGAAGAGGGCGTGGATTTGATAAAGCGTGTAAAGTTTGTGGCCTAAAAATAATGTGTTCCGTATTTATAACATAACAAAGACAGAGAGAGTATTAAAAATACATACTTATTATTTTGTACTATAGTTGGGTCTACGACGTCAACAGAATCGTACTTGTAACTTATTGAAATAAATAAAAGACTATTTATATGCGCTTTATTAAGTAAGGATACAAAAATAAAAATTGTAAGTTTTTCTAAAGCAGCCACCCCCTTTGTATAAAATCTTCGACAACGAAGCAAGCTTTTTCCTTACAGGTTTCAGTCGCTTGACTCCCCACGAAAATAAGGTTATCCATATCCAGTTGTTCCACGTCTTTGGTGTCTTTAGAGGTAGCATAAATCGGCGGTAACATCGTCATAACGTGAAAAAATTCAAACTTCTTCACCATCGCTTTCATATCTTCAATAAAACCCTCAAACGAAAAATCCTTGACATCACAGTCCAGCTTCTTCATCCAGTCAATAAAATTGTCGAAGTAGTACCGCAAGAGATAATCACAGCCTTCTTTAAGAACTTCAGTTTTGACGCTACTGTAGAGGAAGAACACCACATCTCTTGTCAAAGAGGTGTATTCGTACAGCTGGTAATCCACAAACTTGACATCCATAATTTCCCCGTCGATAATTTTAACCATGATGTTGTTGGTCCACATATCACTATGTACCAAAGTAAAAAAGTGGTTCTCCGGTACTGTCTTATCGTTTTTCTTTTGAATAATAACAGAACTATCTTTCATAATTTCTTCCAACCGAGGTAAGTACCTTTTGCATATCACGTCGTCCCTCACCACATCCAAAGCAACTTGTATCATCTTATCATTGCTTTCGTCATCCATAACAAAAGTTTCATACTCTTCAAAAAACGGTACTACTTTCTCTTGGAAAAGTGTTGGTTGTTGAAGCTTGAGGGCCGCGGCGGTTGCATGAACCTCAGCCATTTTCGTCAAAACAAGCTTACACTGCTTCAAATCAAACCCTACAGTTCTGTCCAAAATTTCGAAGCCGTCTTTTTTGATGTTCTTGATTAAAAGCACCGAGCTTTCGTCGATTTTGTGGTGGTGCTTGCTTATTCTAGCTGTGTAGAAGTCGGGGAAAGAGCTTACTAGTTCTGGGATGCGTTTCTCGTGTTGGAACTCTCGTAAACAGGGTGCTATAGTTTGGTAGAAGCCCACTTCGTTCGGGAAAGTGCATTGACTATTGAACATTTCTTGGATGAGTTCGTTGCAGGGAAGCTTTTTGGCAACTGCATGGATATGTTCGTCTTGGTTGTGCTCGTTCCTCACTAAAATATCCACGGAGAGTAAAACACTGCCGTAGTTGTCACCCGAAGAGGTAAGTTTCCGGTGTTGTGCGACGATGAAGTGAGCTTTAGGCAAGAACGAAGCGACCAGGCTTTCCAAGTTGGGTATTTTGTGCGTAGACATCTGGAACGAATTTATTAGAGAGTAAAACTGGGAGGGTTCTACGTACTGTGGGAGCAACGTTCCACTTAACACGATGAACTGAGGCGACTTGTAATTTTACTTTTTATTAACGAAATGTGCCAAGGTCATTTCTATGATGTTTATGTGAGTTTGCAGAAGTTGAATCCAACAGTGAGACACCTGCTTAAGTTAAGTATCTACATAACGAAAATTTATTCTACATGATAAGATAAGTCTTGGGATGTGTTAGCACTGCTACATCACCGGTACCTGTAACAAAATTGATTATTTTTAGGTCAGGGGGCGACCAATCAAAGGGCATTTTTAAAAATCGACTACCTGGCGCATGCGTGCTTAATTAACAGGGCATAATTTTGGGTTAAAAAAAGCACAAAAAACGACCAACTTCTAACCAGAGGCGGCGTAAAGAGGGTTTGGAAAGTGGCAGATTTTGCTCAAATATTTTAATTTTTTTAGAAAATAATGAATATTTAGGATTTACAATAAGCGTCATAAGCATTACGTTTTTTTGCGGTAAAAGTGTTTTGTTTTATTTGTTTAGTCATTCAATAATACACAAGATCAAATGTATTTGCGCCCGTTTATATTAAGCTTTTTATATCTCTGTGATGTGCAACTAGTGAGAAAATGACGGATATATGACATCTGGTGTTTCTGTTTAATTTAGCTGAATTACTTGAATCGAAACAGCTGAAAACGGAATGAACCCGGACTTGTGTTATTTCAGTTTCCATTTTTCACTAGCACTTGAAAAATGTAAACGCAACCGACTACGAAAAAATACTACAAATTTTGATTAGCTGGCACCCCTACCAGTAATAAGGGTCTTATACAATTTCAACACATCCGGGGTCCACATGTCATGATTATCTAAAAATACTACACCAAAGTTCATAAATTACTAAAACCATACTACAAAAGGCATTTTATTTTATGGTTAAGCCAATTATCGACAACATGCACAAACACCACTCGCTATCTGAAGCGCAGCCTATAAATCATCCCGCTGTCCCACATCTAACACACATTCATTCAAGGTTAGTAACACAGTCATCGGTAGTGAGTGAACGTGAATACAATGACCCCTACACAAATCAACAACCTGGAGGATCTCTTCCGCTTCCACAAAGACACAAGAATCGTCAAACATAAAGCAACCCGACTGACTGCACCTGGTGAAAATTATGGGAGCCTAATGCTCAAAATAGACGTCGCTGTGGAAACCTCTGCGGGACTCGACGAAATCCACGTTGTAGCGAAAACGGTGCCACCCGATGAAACCACTCAACAAATGTTCAATACCGAGAAGACTTTCCGTAACGAGATAGCTTTCTATAAAGAGATGGTACCGCTGTGGCAGAGTTTCCAAAGAGAGCATGGAGTGAAAGACGTTATTGATTGCTTCCCCAAGTACTACTGTAGTAGGTTAAATTTAAACTGTGACACAACTAGAGTGGACTCGAACGGGGTACTACTTTTGGAAAATCTGAAAGTGGCAGGCTACGAGAATGTCGAACGCACGCAAGGGTTTGATTTAAACGCAGCGAAGCTAGTGGTTCGCGACTTGGCGCATCTGCACTCAGTAGCTTTGGCACTACGACTTCAAAAACCGTCGATTTTTGAGACACAAGTACTACCGTATTTGTCACCATGGAGGGTGAGCGTCGACTTCCACTACAAAACTAAAGCGAAACTCGAAAAAAAAATCGGTACTATCCCAGAATTGGAGTCTTTGAAGGAGAGGATTCTTGTAGCATTCGACCAAAAACTCAAACCGTCGGAATGCAGAGAACCTTTTGCTACGGTTATTCACAACGACTGTTGGGTCAACAACACTATGGTACCAAATTCCATGGTACCGAACCCGTCAAAAACAAAATTGTTGATTTTCAGGAGTGCGCGTACGCGTCTCCTGCGAAAGATCTCGTTTTCTTTTTGTTTTCGAGTGTGAAGAACCAAGTTTTGGAGAAACATTACCAGGAGTTGGTTGAGTGGTACTACCAAACTTTTGTGTCTATGTTAAAGCAGCTGGGGTGCGATCTTCGGTTGTTTTCGTTTGAGGGGTTGGAGAGGGAGTTGGATTTTGAGGCAAGGCATTCACAGTTTGGGCATTTGATGTTCATGCTTTACCCGATTTTTGCTCCTAAGAATGACAAGTTGGCGGAATGTTCGCCGGCTGATTTGTTGGAGATTGTCCCGACGGAGTTGCATAAGGACAAGTTTTTTTTTATTGTGCAACAGTTTGCTAAGAGAAAATGGATTTAATGATGCAGTAGTGTAATGTAATCATAAATAAATAGGAAAGTAGGTAATGTTTGTATAATCCTTAGAGTAGTACTGGATTGTGGTAGGACTATTTTGTTGTTTTAGTTACGTCATGTCTTATCAAGATGGTTTTAGAATTATTAAAATAAGTGCAAATAGTCTTATTAACCTCAAAAGTAATTATTAAGTGACGAAAAATATTTTTGTAGTGACAAAATTTACAGAAAAATGACATGTATTTTACAAAAATAAAGACCTTTATATTTACGAGTATATTCTTATTTTAAATCTATATTTTTCCATTGTTTAAACATGTTACTAAATTTTTTTTCAGACGAACTTATACCGCTGAAACAGTACCTACTAAAACAACTCAAAATCTTGAAAGAAGGTTCCCTAATAAAATATCCTAAAATAAAATAGTACCACTATCGTAGAATTTCCACGACGATATAGACTTGTGGAATTCATTAGTTAGTACTATGTATAGCACGTGGAATAAAAATCGGTGTAATTTGGCAAAATGACAAATCACTTGGTTTGATGTTTTTCTTTGCAAAATGTTAATATCTACATAAATATTAATTATGGACAAATATTATATAATACAGTTATATGTATATCCCTGATAAGATAAAAATATGCTTAGTGTTAACAAGAGTACGACAATTCATTCAGGAACGTCGAACAAATAAAAAAAAACGCGACGGCTTATTTTAATGAAAATTTGCTAAAAATTTGTTCAGAATTTTTTGATAGAACTAAGGAAGCGCCAAAATTCCTTCCCAGCGACTCTAGGACCTTGTTTAAATTGGACGATTACAATAGAATGATGAAACAAAGATAGTTGGCTTTCAAATACTGATGAGATGTAGTGTTGTTTCTATTTTTCACAAAAATCTGTACTGTTTTTAATCGCAATATTAGATTAGACTTAATGGGTTGTAAATATGTTAACGAAGGTCATTTATTACGACATCTTATTTTCTGTAATTCAGTGGAAACACGTGACTCACCAATTAGCACTGAATATATAAAAATATCAATTTTATTTTATTATTTCGTTTAAGAGATATGAATGAGTCGGCTAATTTTAAGAAAAATCTAGGAATGTCGCTTTTATTACATATAGTGTCCTTAAGACTTTTTGGAATCTTTTCACCTAATTCAATAGGATTTTATCATTCAGCAATGTATAAGTACTTACAGTATCTGCAATAATATGTTTCGAGTGTATCATTTTCGATAACATCTGTTCTAGTCGACTCTATATAATTTTCTTTTTTAATTTCGAAAATCATTTAAAAAAATTTCAGAGCTGGTACCGTGCTCAAAATTTTCCCCTCACATTCCATTTGTTAAAAGCCGTCAAGTGCTAAATAGCTTCCCGTTAAAAATCTGCAAGTTGTCACCGATGAGATTAGATTAGCGCTAACTCGCTATTTAAAGTCCAAACAAGGTCAACTACGCACATCTCTGTCTTCGTTAATCAGTAAAAAAGTGAGACTTAGCCATGAACGTCGAACAAATCAAAAACATTGAAGACCTAATTGAGCTAGACGCCGGCTCAAAAATTAAAAGTCATACAGTGAAGCGTTTGACCGCTCCAGGTGAGAACTACGGAAGTTTGATACTAAGTGTGGATATATCGGTGCAAACCCCAAATGGCGACGAAGAAGTTCACGCAGTTGCCAAAATGGTACCACCGAACAAATTCATCCAGGAAGTTTTCAACACTCAGGTGACATTCCGCAACGAAATCGGATTTTTCAGAAATATAGTACCGGTTTTGCAAAATTTCCAACGAGAACATGGGGTGAAAAAAGTTACTAATTTCGCTGCGAAGTACTACGGAAGCAGACTGAACTTGAACAAAGACGAGTCGATAGTGGATGACGACGCGGCTTTGGTTGTGGAAAATTTGAAAAGCAAAGGGTACGATACTTTGGATCGCATAGCAGGATTGGATTTGGATGCAGCTAAGTTGGTTATTATTAATCTCGCGGAACTACATGCGGTACCAATAGCGCTTAAACTACAAAAACCGGACGTTTTTGAAAACGAAGTCAAAAAGTATTTGTCAACGTGGAAGATTCCGGACCGCATGGCACAACAGATGAGGGAGGATCAAATTCGGCTTGCTGAAGAAATAGAAGAACTGCGACCCCTTAAAGAACGAATTTTGGCGGCGTTTGACAGTGCAACTAATGAACCATCGAAAAAGTGTGAACCTTTTGCGACTATTGCTCACAACGATTGTTGGAGCAACAACAACATGTTTAAAAAGGAGGGTAATAAAGTGGTGAAAAGTAAGATGGTGGATTTCCAAATTCTTGATTATGGTTCTCCAGCGAAAGATGTAGTTTTTTTCATATTTTCCAGTGTCAAGAATGAAGTTGTCAAAGACCACTACGACGAGTTGGTGAAGTTGTACTATGATACTTTTATATCTGATCTTAAAGAGCTTCATTGTGATGTAACGCCTTTTACTTGGGAAGCTCTGTTGGAAGAAATTGATTACGTAATGACGCATTCGGAGTTTAGACATTTGGGATTTATGATGTTGCCTATTTATGCTCCGAAAGGAGCTGTCCAAGAACTTGACGTGTTGACTCCTGAAAGTATGAGACATGAAACAATTACAGAAGTACAAAAGGAAAAATATGCTTTTACTTATACCGAATTCGCAAAAAGGGGTTGGATTTAGTTCAATAAATATATAGTAAATTGCTTTGTGTATTGATATTTGTAGCGTAGTACCTTTATTGACGATGATCCCTATCCTTGGTTTTGTTTTAAAAGCAAATATTAAATAAGAAATGTGTGTTTATTTTTGCTATCTCATTCTTACATTGCAGTACTTACATTATCTCGTAAACAACATTTTTTTGCCTTAACTGATAATACGATAAACATTTAAAGTTCAAGACCAAATCACCTCACAGTTCATTTCTTTTCCGACGTTTTAGTGTAAAGTACACACAATGAACACTCACCAGATCAAAAATCTAGAAGACCTCGTCCATTTTCCGGGCGCAAAAATAGTAAACCATGAAGTGACAAATTTAACCTCACCTGGTGAAAATTTTGGTAGCGTGATGTTAAGTGTTGATATTTTGTTTGAAACTGCAACCGGTACCAAGAAAATTCAAGCAGTCGCAAAAACGGTACCACCTAACGAATTCATTCAAGAGATTTTCAACACTAGTGTAACCTTCCGGAATGAAATTGCCTTCTACAAAGACACAATCCCCTTATTACAAAACTTCCAAAAACAAAACAACATGGAGACAATCATTAATTTCGCACCCAAGTACTACGGCAGTAGATTAAATCTGAGTGGTGGCAATAATGTGGATAACGATGCTGCATTAGTGCTCGAAAATTTGAAAGTTCGGAACTTCTCTACCTTGGAACAAGTGAAAGGTTTGGGGTACGACGTGGCGAAAATAGTACTCACCGATCTGGCGTATTTGCATGCCGTGTCGTTGGGATTTAAACTTAAGCACCCTGAGATATTCGAAAAAGAAATCTTGCCATATTTAGAAGAATGGTTGCCGAAAATTCAAAACCATAACCGTTTGAAATCATCGGTAGGTCTTTTAATCGATGAAATAGAAGAAATGCGGCCTTTGAAAGAGCGTATCTTTGATGGGTTTGATAAGGAGATGATACCGGTTCCACCAAGGGAACCTTTTGCCACCATTACGCATAACGACTGTTGGGTCAACAACATCATGGTAAAATTGGAAAGTGGTGTCCCTATTCAAACTAAACTAGTGGACTATCAAATCTGTTCCTACGGTTCTCCTGCTAGAGATCTGGTTTTCTTTTTATTTTCAAGTGTGAAAAGCGATGTTGTTGAGAATTGTTATCAAGAGTTGGTCAAGTGGTACCATGAGAAATTTATATCGGTACTGCGAGAACTGGATTGTGATACTACTGTTTTTACGTTGGAATATCTACAAAGGGAAATCGATTTTGAAGCAAAAAATTCGCAGTTTGGACACGTCATTTTTATGCTCATTCCTATTTTTATGGAACGGAAAAATGTGGTTGATATTTCTAAACTATCACACGAAAATATGCTTCCCACAGAATTCACAGACTTACATAAGGAAAAATTTGCATTTGTAGTCAACGAATTTTTGAAGAGAAATTGGCTTTAGCTTATTGTTTTTGTAGTACCGTATTTACCGTTAAAACATTTTGTGTTTAATAGCAAGCAGCAATTATTTGTATAAAGACACACAGGCATAAAAAATTTAAAACGTTTTAAATGCGATAACAAAGACGATTATATATACATTCGCGTGTACACTAAGGTCGCATAATTGTCATAAGTGCTGTAAAATTTCCCAGTTACCTCGCTCATCAGTTAATGACCACACTACAAACATGGAGGCAGCAAAAATTCATAAAATCGAGGACCTCTTCCACATAGGAAACGACAAAAAAATAAAAAAACAGGAAGTACGACGTTTGACAGCACCCGGTGAAAATTACGGAAGTTTAATATTGAGTGTGAATTTAACTGTGGAATCGTCAAGTGGAACTGAAGAAATCCATTCCGTTGTCAAAATGATACCACCCAATGAATTTTTGCAGAAAATTTTCAACACCAAGGTAACTTTTCGCAACGAAATAGCGTTCTACAAAAAGATAGTACCCACTTTGCAAAAGTTCCAAATGGAGAACGGTTGCCCAAAAATCGACTTTGCGCCGAAATACTATGGCAGCAGATTGAACCAACAAGGCGAGGTCGACTCAAACAGTGCCTTAGTACTTGAAAATCTAGTTTTCGACAACTACGTGACTCTAGAACGCACCGGAGGCTTAGACTTTGATGTAAGCCGACTGATTATGAAAGATTTGGCCCAAATACACGCAGTTCCTCTAGCTTTGAAACTAAAAAAACCCGACGTGTTTGAAAAAGAAATTAAGCTGTACTTAGCAAACTTTGGTATGGATTTAGAGCTCCACAGTGATATGAAAAACGGTATAATTTGTATTATTGACCAAATCGATGAACTGAAACCGTTGAAAGAGACAATCCTGAAAGGTTTTGATAATCAGATGATTCCTTACGAAGCCAGAGAGCCTTTTGCTACATTCGTTCATAATGACTGTTGGACCAATAACGCTATGATCAAGTACGAAGGTACTAAAGCTGTTCGGAGTAAAATCGTCGATTTTCAGTTGTGCAAGTACGCTTCTCCTGCCCGAGATTTGGTGTTTTTCTTGTTTTCTAGTGTGAAGAGTCAAGTCCTGGTGGAGAAATATGACGAACTGCTCAAAATTTATCACGGTACTTTTGTGAAAGTACTGGAAGATCTGAAATGTGATGTTAGCGATTTCAGTTACGAAAATCTTCTGAAAGAAATTGATTACGAAGCTAGAAATACCCAGTTTGCTCATGTAGCTTCTATGATGATACCTATATTTGCTGTTAACGAGGAAGTAGTGGACATTGTTGATTTGCAACCTGAGGATATGGCAGCTGTAGCGAAAAATGTTACGGATTTGCATAAACGGAGATTTGTTTTTGTAGTGAATGAATTTATGAAGAGAAATTGGCTGTAATTTTTTTTATCCACATGTATAAGTTTTTTTTTAATTTAAATTTTGAATCAACCAATTAGAGACTGTTTTTCATGTAGAATTTAAGTGTTATGATTAAAAGGACTGAGGTACTGAAATTGTTTAATTAAGGCCCCTGGTACCACGTATTTAAGACGCAAAAGTCGTAGATAAAATTTTGCCGTTGTTTCAGTAGTTTTTTTTTTAAGAAATCCATTTATCATCGTTCTCAAATTTTTATAGATATCTCGATCTACGTGTTTGAATGAAAATGCATTTTTTTTCGGCGAACAATATGACTTACTTACACGCGAAAAAAAGCTATTTATTTTTGGATTAGAGTAATTTTGTTTGTCGTCTCGTCGATACGTGCAAGTCACAAGTCTATGATCCACTTTTACCGCTTTCCACTGAACTGATACTGCACTCACTTGACTCAATTATGCAGTTGCATGATGTTCCCCACTCAAGGCCGCTAGTTAACACTGTTTCCGATAATACATATTTGTCTAGCGATCAGTCAACAAGAAACCACCATGGACACTGCCCACATCAAAGACATCAATAATTTAATCAAACTCGACCATGGCAAAACCATCATTGACCAAAAAGTGCGACGTTTAACCGCCCCTGGTGAAAACTACGGTAGTTTAATGTTGAGTGTGGACCTCACGGTGAAGACCCCTCATGGTACCGAAGAAATTCACGCCGTTGCGAAGATGCTACCTCCCAGCAAGTTCATTCAAGAGTTGTTCAACACCAACGTGACCTTCCGCAACGAAATCGGCTTCTACAGCAAAATAGTACCACTTTTGCAGAACTTCCAGAAAGAACGGGGAGTCGCAAAGGTTATCGATTTCGCGCCAAGATATTACGGAAGTCGGCTAAACTTAGACGATGACAGTACCGCTTTGGTCCTCGAGAATTTGAAGATCGACAACTATGTCCTCCTGGACCGACTTGAGGGTACTGATATGGACGTAACGAAACTGATTCTCGAAGACTTAGCTCAGTTGCATGGGGTTTCTTTGGCGCTGAAGTTGCACAAACCTGACGTTTTCGAAAACGAGATCAAGCCTTTCTTGGCACCGTGGAAGCCTATTCCGTCACACTACGCTAAGTTGAAGAAGGATTTGCACCGGTTGATCGACCATGTGGAAGAATTGCAGCCTTTTAGAGAAAAAATTGACAAGGAGTTTGATCAGCAGATGGTCGTGAAGGAACCAAGAGAACCTTTTGCCACCGTCTGTCATAATGATTGTTGGATCACTAATAACTTGGTGAAGTTTGACGGTGGTAAAGCCGTCAAGAACAAAATGGTGGATTATCAGTTGTGTAGTTACGGATCACCAGCCAGAGATGTGTTGTTCTTCATATTTACTACAGTGAAGAGTCACATTGTAGAGGCTAGCTATGATTATTTGATCAAATTTTATCACCAGAAGTTGATTTCGATTTTGGAGGAGTTGAAATGTGACACAAACGAATTTTCTTTAGAGGCTTTTGAGAAGGAACTAGATTATGAAGCCAGAAATTCGCAGTTTGGACATGTAGCCTTTATGCTTTTTCCGGTTTTCGCTAACAAGGAAAACGTGAAAGAAGTTGCAGAGATGACCCCTGAGAATATAATTTCGGAAGAGATTAGTGATTTGCTTAAAGAGAAATTTATTTTCTTTGTTAATCAGTTTGTTAAAAGAAAGTGGATTTATAACTAGTACGTCTGTATTCTTGTTGGTTGTTATAAACGAGAATTTCAATAAAATGTGTCATAATTATATTGTTTGTACTGGTACTTTCACATAACTTGTGATTATCTTAATAACACACTTCTTATCCTGTCTGTAAAAAACATTCAAGCACGATAAGCGCGAATACTGTTTACTTTTTTCTAGAACAATGCAAATCATCAGCTTTCGTAATAAATATGTTTTACAAAATATTTGTAAAACATATGCATGGTGGTACCTGCAACCGCTTATCTTAACTAAATCATTAATTGAAACTTGTTGTGTCACAAACGAGTTTATTAGAAGACGCTAAATTTACATATGACTAAATTCGTTTCTTGTAGAAATCCTTGAACTTCTTTCTCATCTTAACAATAGTTCAATGGTACTCCAAATAATCCTGCATGCATTACTAACACGTTAAGGGCGATTTTATCTCGATACTAGTATTGTTACTATTACTTAATTAAAATTTTATTGTTGTTTAACACTCCTCTTAACGTCCATACTGCCAAAAAAGCACCTCCACCCAATTCAAGTTCCGGTTTTTCAAGGTTAATAGATTAATATTGCAACTTCTTGTTTATGTCACCAGTCGTGAACCGTGCACCATGAAACTCGAACAAATTAAAAATATTTCCTCTCTTCTCAATTTGCGCCCTAACCAGAAGGTACTAGGGTACAAAATCAAACCCTTGACGGCACCTGGGGAAAATTATGGCAGCTTGATGCTAAACGCACAGATTTCTCTAGAAAGTGACGAACTTAACGTCGTCATTAAAATGGTACCACCTAGTGAGTTCCTGCGAGAGCTTTTCAACATCCAAGTTACTTTTCGGAATGAAGTGGCCTTCTACAAGAACATAGTACCGCTTTTGCAAAACTTCCAAAGAGAGCATGGAGTCGAAAACGTGATTGATTTCTTCCCGGAGTACTACGGAAGCAGATTGAATCTTATTGGCGATGAGAAGGTGGATTTAGATGCAGCTCTAGTACTTGAGAATTTGAAGATCAAGAATTATATTACAATGGAAAGGACGGAAGGGTTAGGTTTAGATGTAGCGAAACTAATCATCAAAGATCTGGCATATTTCCACGCCGTGCCTTTAGCCCTCAGGCTACAAAAACCTGACGTTTTTGACAAAGAAATCAAGCCATATTTGTCCACGTGGTTGCCTTTGGAAGACGGCCACAGTAATATGAAGGCACAACTCGATATAATAATCAATCAAGTAGAGGAAGTTAGTAAGTTTAGAGATAGGATACTCAAAGGTTTCGATATGGAGATGGTACCACACGATCCGGGTGACCTTTTCGCGACTTTAACCCATAACGACTGTTGGACCAACAACAATATGATCAAGTTCGAAGGGAACAAGCCCGTCAAGAACAAATTGGTTGACTACCAAGTGTGCGACTACGGATCACCTGCCAGAGACGTAGTTTTCTTTATATTTTCCAGCGTGAAGAGTGATATTATTGAAAAGTACTACGACAGTCTTGTTTTGTTGTATCATGACACTTTTATATCAGTCTTGACCGAGCTTTGTTGTGACATAGAGCCGTTTACACTCACAGCTTTAAAGAAAGAGCTGGATTTTGAAGCCCGAAATTCTGAGTTTGCGCATGTCATGTTTATGCTTTTTGTGATGTTTGCGCCTAAACAGAGTGCGAAGGAGATGTCTGAAGTTACCCCTGAGAGTATGGTTGCGTCGGAAATTACTGATTTGTTTAAGCAAAGGTTGATTTTTGTTGTGAACGAATTTGTGAAAAGGGACTGGATTTAGAGTGGTATTAAAGGATGTAATAATCTTATATTGTCATACAAGTACTTTTTGTTAATCATTAAACTTAATAAATTTGATAAGAAATAGCATTATTTGTGTTCAACCTGAACGGAAAAAACTCATAAGATAAAATTTTGTTTCACGCGCCGCGAGTACTTAAACCGAACCCGTAATCTCCGTTATCAAAATAGAGCAATTAAATATCAACTATGGAATATAAGTATTTATAGAAATGAAAGTATCTATTACGTATAATTCGTCATGTTATCTGTAACCTTATGTAGTTCATCTGTTTTAGTAACAAACTATTTTTTTGTGAAAATATCGTCGGGCAAATAATAAAAAAACTGTTAAAATATATACACTTATCGTCTTGTTAGTAGGAATTGAAATTTCATCCACACCATGCATGACAAGATAACATCAAACAATCGGCACCTATAAGATCTGAATTGCATTGCAAAAAATGCGATTCATTGTTAGTAGTTGTCAAAACGCCAACCATGAACGTAGAAAAAATCGAAAAACTCGAAGATATCGTCCCTTTGGGCGAGAACAAGACCATAATAGACCACCAAGTGAAACGTTTGACAGCCGCTGGTGAGAACTATGGTAGTTTAATGCTCAGTGTTGATATCACCGTCCAAAATGCTTATGGCACTGAAGAAATCCACACCGTTGCAAAAATGGTACCACCGAATGACTTCATCCAGGAAGTTTTCAACACCCAGACGACCTTCAAAAACGAGATTGGCTTTTACAATAACATAGTACCGGCTTTGCATGAGTTCCAGAGGGAACAAGGTATGGACGAACTTGTAGACTTTTCCCCCACGTACTACGGAGGTCGGATAAATTTAACTGGAGACTCGAGTGTCGTAGATTCGGATGCTGTTCTTCTGCTAGAGAATTTGAAGACCGTCGGGTATAAGAACTTCGAGCGAACGCTAGGATTTGATCTAGACACTTCTAAATTAATAGTTGCTGATTTGGCGCATCTGCATGCAGTACCGTTAGGACTGAAACTGAAAAAGCCCGATGTGTTTGAAACCGAAGTGAAGAAGTACTTAGCACCTTTCAACCCTCAACGACCCGATTCCTCTTATCAAAGATTTTTTGCTACGATTGATAAAATAGATGAACTGAAACTTTTCAAGAAAAGAATTCAGAAGGCTTTCGACAATTCTTTGCAACAGAGCGAGGCCCGCGAACCCTTTGCGACCGTTGTTCATCAAGACTGCTGGGTAAACAACATCATGATTAAAGTGGAAAAGGGAAAATCCGTGAAAAATAAGTTTGTTGATTTCCAAATTTGCGACTACGGCTCTCCGGCTAAAGATTTAATTTACTTTCTTTTCTTAAGTGTACAGAATAACGTCCTGGAAAAACATTACGACGATTTAATCCGGTACTACCACCAAACGTTCACGTCAACCTTGCAGAAACTCAAATGTGACACTACAAGATTCTCATTTGACGCTCTCTTGAAGGAAATTAATTATGAAGCTGCCCATTCACAGTTCATACAATTGATGTTCAGGACTTTTCCAATTTTTGCAACAAAAGGGACAGTGAAGGAACTGTCGGAAATAACCCCAGCCGACTTGATACCGGAAACGGCCGAGACCACGGATCTTCACAAGCAAAAACTAATTTTTATTGTTAAACAATTCGTTAAACAGAACTGGATTTAAGTAAATTTTTTGAGAACAATTTTTTTTCATGTAGTTCCCCTACTATTTATAACGTGTGAAATATGTTACAATCAAAACCACATGATGCACTTAATGTTATCAAAAAAACTTATCCCATTTTTTCCACTTTGAAAAGCCCTATAAACTAACTTATCATCGTGTTAGTACGAACTGAAACTTTATCCATACATTGAATGGCGAGATAACAGATTACTTTTACCTATAAAACTTGATCAGATTGTGAAAACTCAAAATCATTTTAGTCCCTGTGAAAACATAGACCATGAACGTCGAAAAAATAGAAAAGCTTGAAGACATCGTCACATTAGGTGACAACAAAACTATCATAGACCACCAAGTGAAACGTTTGACAGCAGCTGGTGAAAACTATGGCAGTTTAATGCTTAGTGTTGATATCACCGTCCAAAATGCCTACGGTACTGAAGAAATTCACACCGTTGCAAAGATGATACCACCCAATGAATTCATCCAGAAAATTTTCAACACCCAGACGACTTTCAAAAACGAGATTGCCTTTTATAATAACGTAGTACCAGTGTTGCACGAGTTCCAGAGGGAACAAGGTATGGACGAACTTGTAGACTTTTTCCCTAAGTACTACGGAGGTCGGATTAATTTAAGTGGAGATCCGAGTGTTGTGGATTCGGATGCTGTTCTTCTGCTAGAGAATTTAAAAATAGCCGGCTACAAGAATTTCGAGCGAACATTAGGCTTTGATTTAGACACCTCTAAATTAATAGTCGCTGATTTGGCACATCTGCATGCAGTACCGTTAGCACTGAAACTGAAAAAACCCGACGTGTTTGAAACTAAAGTGAAGAAGTACACAGCACCTTTCAACGTTCAACGACCCCCTGCCTCCTACCAAAAACTGTTTGCTGTTATTGATAAAATAGATGAACTGAAAATTTTCAAGAAGAGAATTCAAGAGGCTTTGGACAACTCCTTGCCACAGAAGGAGGTGCGTGAACCCTTTGCCACCTTTGTACACCAGGACTGCTGGGTAAACAACACCATGGTCAAAGTGGAAAAAGGGAGATCCGTGAAGAATAAGTTGGTTGATTTCCAAATTTGCGACTACGGATCGCCCGCTGTAGATTTGATTTTCTTTCTTTTCTCAAGTGTACAGAATAACGTGCTGGAAAATCATTACGATGATTTAGTCCGGTACTACCACCAAACGTTCACGTCGATCTTGCAGAAACTCAAATGTGAGACGACGAGATTCTCATTTGATGCTTTCTTGAAGGAAATTAATCATGAAGCTGTCAGTTCGCAGTTCAAGCATTTGATGTTCATGACTTTTCCAATTTTTGCACGAAAAGGGACTGTGAAGGAGCTGACGGAACTAACGCCAGAGGATTTCATAGCGGAATCAACCGACATCACGGATCTTCACAAAGAAAAACTAATTTTGATTGTTAGGCAGTTTGCTAAACACAACTGGATTTAAATAAACGTTATGAAAAAAGTATTTTTTATTTACTTATCTCCCCATTTATCTGCAATCTGTAAAACATGTTACAATAAGTATACATTTTGTGATAACACTAGAGTCTTACAGGAAAAAAATTCAGTAACATTTTGTACATGATAACATTATAAGTCTGTGGAGGAACTTTGATGCACACACTTAATTTGAAAAACTTGTTGGTAAGTAGCTGAGTACTACTTAGTCGCTTGAACTCAGTGGCGGTGTAAAGAGGGTCCGCCTCGGATACCAAGCACCAAGGGGTGACAACGACTACTCACTGGCACATCCAGAGACTACTTACACCAGAATTACTTTGCAAAAACATGCAAAAAAAAATCGGGACGGCAGACAGACGGACAGACAGACGGAAACGGGAGACCCATTTCTTCGTACTCTAGGGGTCATGAGAGGTCGAGAAAATGTAAAAGTAGACAGTCGAACCACGTACTTGATTATAATACTTCTTTCACTTACGCGTGGGAAGTAAAAATAATGTCTTGATAGATTTTACGAAGAACTAAACCATCGTTACAGAGTAAATTTTAACTATAACCTACACTATGTATTTCTAGGGGCTATACTTTTAACTTTCGCCGTTACGTTGCTGTAGTTCTCTATAAAATTTATTGCTATTCGTCTCAAAAACAGATTAGGTATTATAACTAAGTACAAGGGTTTATACGTTTTTCTTAATATGTGTGTAGTCTTTGTCTTCTCTTCATAACAAAAAAGGTAAAACATGTCTAAAATGGTAAATTTTTGTAGGAAAGTATCGATTTTACAATTAAGCTCCGCCCCTCGGTCTGACAACGAATGAAAAATTCATCACAATTGAGCTTGGGATACACATGGGTGGGGCTTAATTTTTGGCTCGTTTTTTTCTTAATATACTTATACATAGTTAGTATTCTTTGAACAACACAATACCCAAAAACATGTTGTTATTAATAAGGATTTTGCAATTAAGCTTCACCCTCTTGGCTCACGACGAATAAAAAAATCATCACAATTGCGATGGGGCGGGTGGGCGGGGCTTATATTTTCCTTTTTTTTTCTTAATATACACAGCCAACTTTTCATAACAAGAATTTTAAAACATGGTTCAAATGGTTTTTGCAAGTAAACATGGACTTTGCAATTATACGGTGGAACCTATTGCAAAATCGATATTTCCTTTTACAAATTTTCCATTTTAAACATGTTTTAAGTTTCATGTTGTGACAAGAAGTCTACACATATTAAAACAAAAAGGCAAAATGTAAGCCCGCCCACCCGCCCTGTCTCAATTGTGATGTTTTTTTTTATTCGCCGTGAACCAAAGGGGACGGAGCTTAACTGCAAAATACTTGTTTCTTTACAAGAAATTAAAAATGAGTTCGTGTTGTTCAAAGAATATTATGTATATTAAGAATAAGAGGCAAAATATTAACCCAGCCTACCCACCCAATCTCAATTGTGATGATTTTTTTTAATTCTAAGAAACTTAAAACACGTTTAAAATCGTCAATCTTTGTAAAGAAATATGGATTTTGCAATTAGGCTCCACCTTTAAGTTTACCAACGAATGAAAACTTCATTACTATTTAAATCAGTACAGGTATGGGTGGGGCTTAATCTTTGGCTTTAATTTTTTCTTAATATACATAGTATTCTTTGAGTAACACGATACTCAAAAAAATGTCTTCCATGGTAATTTTAAGAATTTTGCATTTAAATTCCGCTCCTTTGGCTCTTGACGATTAAAAAAAATTGTTACAATTGCGATAGGGCGGGTGGGCGGGGTTTATATTTTGCCTTTTTTCTTAATATACGTAGTCGTTTTTTCAGAACAAGAAACTTAAAACATGTTTAAAAGGGTAAATTCTTGTAGACAAATATGGATCTTGCAATTAAGCCCCGCCCCTCGATCTGCCAACGAATCAAAAGTCCATCACAGTCGAGAATTGAGATCGGGGCGGGTATGGGTGAGGCCTAATGTTTGGCTTTATTATTTTTTTTTTTTTTAATATACATAGTATTCTTTGAACAATACGATATTCAAAAACATGTTTTTAAGTTCTCGTAGAGAAATAAGGATTTTGCAGTTAAGCTCCGTCCCCTTGGCTCACGACGAATAAAAAAAAACATCACAATTGAGATAGGGCGGGTGTAGCAACAAGAAACTTAAGACATATCTTAAATTGTACATTTTTGAAGTAGTTCAATAGAAAACCGCCCTGGGTACCAAACCACGCTACGCCGCCACTGCTTGAACCTACGTTATTCTGGTTACTTCATCAACGAATGTTGCTCTATTGTGATTATGTCAGTATTTGTCTTCACATGATCATTATCTACGCAATATAATCTGAAAATATCGTCGATCGAATCGTAGACAAACTCATGTCACACTTTATTTTATTCAAAAAGCTTATTCCACTTTTTTCTATTTAAAAAGCTAAATTTATTCGTACTTGTCATCGTATTGTGAAATTTAATCCACATTTTGCATGCCAAGATAACATTCATTATACATAATTACTTATAATACCTGAATTAGATTACAAAAAATGAAAATCATATTAAGTAGTACCTGTGAAAACACCGACCATGAACGTCGAAAGAATTGAAAAACTTGAAGACATTCTCCCCTTGGACGAAAACAAGACCATAATAGACCACCAAGTGAAGCGTTTGACAGCAGCTGGTGAAAATTATGGTAGTTTAATGCTCAGTGTTGATATCACCGTCCAAAATGCTTACGGTACTGAAGAAATCCACACCGTTGCAAAAATGGTACCACCAAATGAATTTATCCAGAAAGTTTTCAACACCCAGACGACCTTCAAAAATGAGATTGCCTTTTACAATAAAATAGTACCGGTTTTGCACGAGTTCCAGAGGGAGCAAGGTATGGACGAACTTGTAGATTTTTCCCCGAAGTACTGTGGAAGTCGGATAAATTTAAGTGGAGATCCGAGTGTTGTGGACTCAGATGCTATTCTTCTGCTAGAGAATTTGAAAACAATCGGCTACAGCAATTTCGAGCGAACATTAGGATTTGATTTAGACACCTCTAAATTAATAGTCGCTGATTTGGCACAGCTGCATGCAGTCTCGTTAGGACTGAAATTGAAAAAACCCGACGTGTTTGAAACTGAAGTTAAGAAGTACTTGGGAACTTTCAACCCTCCACGATCCAACCCATTCCTCCAACATTTTTTTGCTGTTATTGATAAAATAGATGAATTGAAACTTTTGAGGGAAAGAATTCAGAAGGTTTTCGATAACCCTTTGCCACACAGCGAGGCCCGCGAACCATTTGCCACCTTTATACACCAGGATTGCTGGGTAAACAACATAATGATTAAGGTAGAAGAACGAAAATCCGTCAAAAATAAGTTGGTTGATTTCCAAGTTTGCGACTACGGATCTCCCGCTAAAGATTTAATTTTCTTTCTTTTCTCAAGTGTACAGAATAACGTGGTGGAAAAACATTACGACGATATAGTCCGGTACTACCACCAAACGTTCACGTCGATTTTGCAGAAACTCAAATGTGAGATTACAAGTTTCTCGTTTGACGCTTTCTTGAAGGAAATTAATTATGAAGCTGCCAATTCGCAGTTCAGGCATTTGATGTTCATGACTTTCCCAATGTTTGCACCAAAAGGGACGGTGAAGGAGTTGTCGGAGCTGACGCCAGACGATCTCATATCGGAGTCAACCGACATCACGGATCTTCACAAAGAAAAGCTAATCTTTATCATTCGTCAATTTGCTAAACGCAACTGGATTTAAATAAATTTAAAAAAAAAATCGTTGTTTTTATTTAGCTCCGCATTTGTCCGCAATCTGTAAAATATGTTACAATAAGTATACATTTTTTGATAACACTGATTTTTGTAAGAAAAAGTTCAGTAATATTTTCCTATGAAAACACATTTTATACATGATGAAATTATGAGACTGTGGAAGAACTTGATTGAGTTTCAGTTAGAGATATCGTGGGCCGAATCGCAGACAAACTCATCATGCACTTTATATTATCAAAAAATCCTATTCCATTTTTTCCTCTTTTAAAAACTCCTTTCACTTATCATCAAATTATGAAATGTTATCCACACCATGTATGTCAAGATAACAATCATTATCGTTACTCATAAGACCTAAATGAGATTGCAAAAATTGAAAATCATATTAGTACCTGTGAAAACACCGACCATGAACGTCGAAAGAATTGAAAAACTTGAAAACATCCTCTTTTTGGACGAGAACAAGACCATCATAGACCACCAAGTGAAACGTTTGACAGCACCTGGTGAAAACTTTGGTAGTTTAATGCTCAGTGTTGATATCACAGTCCAAAATGCTTATGGTACTGAAGAAATCCACACCGTTGCAAAAATGGTACCACCGAATGGCTTCATCCAGGAAGTTTTCAACACCCAGACGACGTTCAAAAACGAGATTGGCTTTTATAATAACATAGTACCGGTTTTGCACGAATTCCAGAGGGAACAAGGTATGGACGAACTTGTAGACTTTTTCCCCAAGTACTACGGAGGTCGTATTAATTTAAATGGAGACCCGAGTGTTGTGGATTCGGATGCTGTTCTTCTGCTGGAGAATTTGAAAATAGCCGGCTACGAAAATTTCGAACGAACATTAGGATTTGATCTAGAAACTTCTAAATTAATAGTCACTGATTTGGCACATTTGCATGCAGTACCATTAGGACTGAAACTGAAAAAACCGGACGTGTTTGAAACTGAAGTGAAGAAGTACTTAGCACCTTTTAGGCCTCAGGGGCACAGCACTTTCTACCAACGATTTTTCTCTGTTATTGATAAAATAGATGAATTGAAACATTTGAAGAAGAGAATCCATAAGGCTTTCGATAACGTTTCTTTAGACAGCGCGGTCCGCGAACCCTTTGCCACCTTTGTACACCAGGACTGCTGGGTAAACAACATCATGATTAAAGTGGAAAAAGGACGATCCGTGAAAAATAAATTGGTTGATTTCCAAGTTTGCGACTACGGATCTCCAGCTAAAGATTTAATTTTCTTTCTTTTTGCAAATGTACAGAATCATGTCCTGGAAACGCATTACGACGATTTAGTCCGGTACTACCATGAAACGTTCACGTCGATCTTGCAGAAACTCAAATATGAAACTACAAGATTCGCGTTTGATGCTCTCTTGGAGGAAATTAATTATGAGGCTGGCCATTCGCAGTTCTTGCATTTGATGTTCATGACTTTTCCAATGTTTGCACCAAAAGGGACGGTGAGGGAGCTGACGGAGCTAACGCTAGACGATTTCATATCGGAATCAACCGACATCACGGATCTTCACAAAGAAAAACTAATTTTTATCATTCAGCAATTTGATAAGCATAACTGGATTTAAATAAATTTTTGAAAAAAAGCATTGTTTTCTTATTTAGTTCCCCATTTAGTTACTAGCTGTAGAATACATTACAACAAGTAAATTAGAGTCTTGGAGGAAAAATATGCTTCTCCAATAAAAAACATTTTATGGAAGATAACGTTATAAGCTGTGCTGGAACTTTAATATACACATTTAATTTGAAAAATTTTTGGGTCAATCACTTAGTTCTAGTCGCTTGAAGCTGAACTTTTCTGACTGCTTCGTCAGATTGACTGTGGGTCTGTTGTTCTGAAAATATCGTCAGCAGAATCGAAAACAAACTCAAAACAAAACCTTCTAAATTACATAATGCACTTTTCTTTATCAAAAAAAAACTCATTCAATTTTTTTTTTCTTTTTGAAAAACTCCATTACCTTATCATCATTTATTGTGAAATTTCATCCACACCATGTATGTCAAGATAACAATCATTATCGTTACTCATAAGACCTAAATGAGATTGCAAAAATTGAAAATCATATTAGTACCTGTGAAAACACCGACCATGAACGTCGAGAGAATTGAAAAACTTAAAGACATTCTCCCTTTGGACGAGAACAAGACCATCATAGACCACCAAGTGAAACGTTTGACAGCACCTGGTGAAAACTTTGGTGGTTTAATGCTCAGTGTTGATATCACAGTCCAAAATGTTTATGGTACTGAAGAAATCCACACCGTTGCAAAAATGGTACCACCGAATGACTTCATCCAGGAAGTTTTCAACACCCAGACGACGTCATTTTCTTTCTTTTCTCAAGTGTACAGAATAATGTCCTGGATAAACATTACGACAATTTAGTCCGGTACTACCATCAAACGTTTACGTCGATCTTGCAGAAACTCAAATGTGAAACTACAAGATTCTCGTTTGATGCTCTCTTGAAGGAAATTGATTATGAAGCTGCCAATTCGCAATTCATGCATTTAATGTTCATGACTTTTATAATTTTTACAAGAAAAGGAACCGTCAAGGAATTGTCGGAGATAACCCCAGACGATTTGATGCCGGAATCGGGCGAGATCACAGATCTTCATAAAGAAAAACTAATTTTTGTTATTAGGCAATTTGCTAAACATAATTGGATTTAAATAAATTGTTTAAAAAAAAATCTTTACTTTTTTATGCAGCTACCCATTTATTTACAGCTTGTTCGTACGTCACTGGGTACTAACTGTTTGAGTTTTTTTTTACTTTATCAGATTGACCTGTAATTCTATTGGGGTGATATAATTTGTCTTCATATTGTTATGACAAGTTAAACTTTCTTCTTTTACACAATAGTACCTCATTACCTCATGATCATTATATAAGCAGTTGAAATTATTGTTCTGAAGATTGAAAACAAAACAATCGAAACCACAAACTACACTTAATTTTATCAAAATAACTCATTCAATTTTTCCACTTTCAATAGCTATATGTACTTATCATCATAATAGTCCGAAATGACATTTGATCCACACCAAGAATCGCGAGATAACATCGAACAATCGGTACCTACAACGCCTGATTTAGATTACAAAAAAATCAGTACCCCTCTAAACCTCGATCATGAATGTCGAAAAAATCGAAAAACTTGAAGACATCGTCCCTTTGGGCGAAAACACGACAATAATAGACCACCAAGTGAAACGTCTGACAGCACCTGGTGAAAACTATGGTAGTTTAATGCTCAGTGTTGATATCACCGTCCAAAATGCTTACGGTACTGAAGAAATCCACACCGTTGCAAAAATGGTACCACCGAATGACTTCATCCAGAAAGTTTTCAACACCCAGACCACCTTCAAAAACGAAATTGCCTTTTATAATAATATAGTACCGGTTTTGCAAGAGTTCCAGAGGGAACAAGGTATGGACGAACTTATCGACTTTTTCCCGAAGTACTACGGAAGTCGGATTAATTTAAGTGGAGACCCGAGTGTTGTCGATTCGGATGCTGTTCTTCTGCTAGAGAATTTGAAGACTGCCGGCTATAAAAACTTCGAGCGGACATTAGGATTTGATCTAGACACCTCTAAATTAATAGTCGCTGATTTGGCATATCTGCATGCAGTACCGTTAGGACTGAAATTGACAAAACCCGACGTGTTTGAAACCGAAGTGAAGAAATACTTAGCACCTTTCGAACCTGACGGCCCCAATGAGTTCCAACAACGATTTTTTGCGATTACTGACAAAATAGATGAACTGCGTATTTTCAGAAAGAGAATTCAGAAGGTTTTCAACAACATCCTGCCGAACAGTGAAGCCCGCGAACCCTTTGCTACCTTGGTACACCAAGACTGCTGGGTAAACAACACCATGATCAAAGTGGAAAGAGGAAAATCCGTGAAAAATAAGTTGGTTGATTTTCAAATTTGCGACTACGCATCGCCCGCTAGAGATTTAGTATTTTTTCTTTTCTCAAGTGTACAGAATAGCGTCTTGGAAAAACATTACGACGCTTTAGTCCGGTACTACCACCAGACGTTCACAGAGGTCTTGCAGGCACTCAAATGTGAGACTACAAGATTCTCGTTTGATGCTTTCTTGAAGGAAATTGATTATGAGGCTGCCAATACACAATTCATGCATTTGATATTCATGACTTTTCCAATTTTTGCAAGAAAAGGGACGGTGAAGGAACTGTCGGAGATTACGCCAGAGGATATGATACCGGAGTCGGCCGAAATCACGGACCTTCACAAAGAAAAACTAATTTTTGTCATTAGGCAATTTGCTAAACGAAACTGGATTTAAGTAAATTTTTTGAACCATTTTTTTTGTTGATTTATTTTTCGTTTAAATCCCCATTTATTACAATCTGTACTAGGAAAATCTTGCTTTTTCTTTTACAGATGGTAGGTTAAGTTCTGATTAAACCAACATGGTCGCTGTAATACAAATTGTTCTGAGAATGTCATCGGCCGAATCGTAAAGAAACTCAAAACAAAACCATTGAAACCTCGTGATACACTTTATTTTATCAAACAAACCCATTCCATTTTTTCCACTTTCAAAACTTCCAAACACTTATTATCGGATTAGTACGAGATAATAGTGACTATCAAACAGTCGGTACTTTAAAATAGATTGCAAAAAAATGCGGTACGTTATCAGTACCTCTGTAAATACCGACCATGAACGTCGAAAAAATCGAAAAACTTGAAGAAATCGTCCCTTTGGACGAGAACCAAACCATAATAGAGCACCAAGTGAAACGTTTGACAGCAGCTGGTGAAAACTATGGTAGTTTAATGCTCAGTGTTGACATCACCGTCCAAAATTCTTACGGTACTGAAGAAATCCACACCGTTGCAAAAATGGTACCACCAAATGACTTCATCCAGAAAGTTTTCAACACCCAGACGACCTTCAAAAACGAAATTGCCTTTTATAATAACATAGTACCAGTTTTGCACGAGTTCCAGAGGGAACAAGGTATGAACGAACTTGTAGACTTCTCCCCCAAGTACTACGGAGGTCGGATAAATTTAAGTGGAGACCCGAGTGTTGTCGATTCGGATGCTGTTCTTCTGCTAGAGAATTTGAAGACTGCCGGGTACAAGAACTTCGAGCGAACGTTAGGATTTGATTTAGACACTTCTAAATTAATAATCGCTGATTTGGCACATCTGCACGCGGTACCACTAGGACTGAAACTAAAAAAGCCCGATGTGTTTGAAACTGAAGTGAAGAAGTACTTAGCACCTTTAAACTTTGAACGACCCCAGGCCTTGTACGACCGATTTTTTGCTGTTGCTGATAAAATAGATGAATTGAAACTTTTCAAGAAAAGGATTCAGAAGGCTTTCGACAACTCTTTGGCACACAGCGAGGTCCGCGAAACCTTTGCAACCTTTGTACACCAGGACTGCTGGGTAAACAACATCATGATTAAAGTGGAAAAAGGAAGATCAGTTAAAAATAAGTTGGTTGATTTTCAAGTTTGCGACTACGGATCACCCGCTACAGATTTAATTTTCTTTCTCTTCTCAAGTGTCCAGAATAACGTCCTGGAAAAACATTACGACAATTTAGTCCGGTACTACCACCAAACATTCACCTCGATCTTGCAGAAACTCAAATGTGATACCACAAGATTCTCATTGAATGCTCTCTTAAAAGAAATTAATTATGAAGCTGCCAATTCACAGTTCACGCATTTGATGTTCATGACGTTTCCAATTTTTGCAAGAAAAGGGGCGGTGAAGGAGCTGACGGACCTAACACCAGACGATTTCATATCAGATTCGGTCGAAATCACGGACCTTCACAAAGAAAAATTAATTTTTATTGTTAGACAATTTGCTAAACAACACTGGATTTGAGTAAATTTTTTGAAAAAAAAAACGTGTTGTTTTTGTGTTTTTGACCCACTTAACACGACAGGAAACTCTGTTTAATGTAACCTATTATTACCCCACAAGTTGATTTAATCGCTGCGGAGAGTTCATTACATCGAGTCATTCAGTTGCGCTGGCTGAATGATGTGGCGTGTACGAGTGTTGCTTATGTGATAATAATCTGTGATAAGGCATTTTTTCGTCGGTTTTTAAACTAATCACGCAATAGTATTATGTAAGTACTACGCAATTTACAAATCCAAAACTAATTTTTAAAATGTAGCAGTACCATGGACGTACCAAAGATAGCAAATTTAAGCGAGTTACTCAACCGGTATCTGGGACAACACAAAACCATAATCGACCTTGAAACCACGAGACTGACAGCAATCGGTGAAAATTACGGCAGCCAAATGCTCGCTTTAAAAATCCACGTTAAGAACAAAGACCAAACCGAAATTCTCGAAGTCGTGGCAAAACTCCCCCCACCGGGCGAATTTATTCGAAGAATGTTCAACGTACCAGTAACTTTCCGCAACGAAGTTGAATTCTATGGAACGATAATTCCAGAAATGGAAGCATTTCTCCACGAAAGAGGACTCGACGGGTACTTAAACTGTTTCCCGAAACTATTCGGTGCCAGATTATCCCTTCAAGGCAACGACGAAGTAGACGACGACGCCGTACTTGTCCTAGAAAATTTAAAAGTACAAGGGTACGAAATGCTTGACCGCACAATCGGTTTTGATTACGACTCTGCAAAAACCGCTATCAAAGCCATTGCCAAATACCACGCAGTACCGCTGGGTTTGAAGCTCCTCAAGCCCGAAGCTTTCAAAAAGATTAGGGCGCTTTTTCCACCTTACAAGGTTTTCGAATTCAATGAAACAACGTTCGACGAAATAGTCGCCTTACAAAAGCAAACAGTCGAAGATATTGAGGGCTGTCAAGAATACGGCCAAGCAGTCGCAGACGTGTTTAAGCTAACCGCCCGAATTACCAAGAGTGATCCAAAATTGATTCGAGAACCTTTTGCCACTCTTATTCACACTGATACCTGGGTGAACAACTTCATGGTGAAGTATCAGGATGGTAAACCCGTTGGGTGCAAGCTCGTGGACTTTCAGTTGGGCGAATATGGATCGCCTGCTCGTGACGTAATTTTTTTTATCTTCACCAGTATTCAAACACCGGTTGTTGAGGAACATTACGATGATTTGATAGCACTGTATCATCAGACTTTGGTGGGTGACTTGGCGAAGTTTGGATGTGATCCTACACCTTTTTCGATGGATGAGTTGCAGAAAGAAATTGAATTGGCGGCTCGAGAGTATGAAATTGCTCACTGTATAATGATGTTGCAACCCATTTTTGCCACAAAGGAAAATTTAAAGGAACTAGATGAGTACAAGGATGAAGATATGACCACAGCAACACCCATTTCAGATGAACAAAAAGAAAAAACAAAGTTTCTTGTACATGAATTTGCGAAAAGGAAATGGATTTAATTAAACAAATATAGGCAATTATTATGTTTGTATTTTTATTTCGTTAAGTAGTAGTTTCCCTTTAACCTTTAGTTTGATCATTAGAACCATAGTACCATTAGTACCATAAAGTGGACACATTTAAATAGGAAGTTTAATTGAATTATTCACCTTTGTATTAGCACTTTTATGGTGTACACTAGTAGGGTAATGAAGTGATAACCCATTCCACCCAAGATAACCAAAACACGTCCATTTGAAAAAATTTGCACAAGGAAATAAATGTATTTAGGAACCATAAGCATTTACCTATCCATTTTTTCATTCTGTGAAGTGACGACTTAAGTTTAGCGTCCATTTAGATTACTTGTGGTTATTTTCAGTTATACCAAGGCATTTTATATGGCTACATACGAAATCAAAAATTTAGAGCAAACCCTTGCTTCATCTCTGCGTGGATCCCACATTGTGAGTACCCGTTTCTCCAAATTAACTTCCGCGGGTGACAATTACGTGGGACTTTTATTGGCTGTGGATGTCACTACTAGTGACGCGAAAAATCAGGAGCAGCTCCCATTGGTCGCCAAATTGCTACCTCAAAATGAATTCCTCCAGGGGTTTTTCAACATGCAACACACGTTTCGGAACGAGGTAGGCTTTTATCAAACAATAACACCTTGTTTGAGAGATTTCCAAAAGGAACGAGGTCTCAACGAAGTGTTTAATTCCACGCCCGACTTCTATGGTGCGCGATTTAGTCTAGACGCCTCTAGCACAAGAGTCGATTCCGATGCACTTCTATTAATTAAAAACCTAAAAGCTGAAGGTTTCACCATTATTGACCGAAAAGTAGGTTTCGATCTGGACCAAAGTAGGTTGGTTTTGGACAAAATAGCAGAAATTCATGCCACTAGTTTTGCTTTGAAAACCCTCAAACCAGAAATATTTGACGAAGAGATTGGACCGTTTGTTCAAAAATTTACAATATTTGAAGAATTTAGTAGTCACGAAAAAGCTTTTTGCGATTCCATTCTCAACTTGTTAGTAAATGATGAAGTATCCGTTAAAAACTGGGCGAAAATCGAAAACGCCATAAAAAAAGGTGTTGTCGCAAATTGCAAAAGAAACCAAGGTGGTGATAATCGATTTACAGGGTTAGTTCATAGTGATTTATGGACCAACAACATCATGGTTAAATTCGAGAATGGTAAAATGGTGGATGTCAAGTTTGTTGACTTTCAGCTATACGAATACTCTTCTTTTGGACGCGATGTCATCTTCTTCCTCTTTACCAGTGTTCAGATCCAAGTTTTAAAACAACACTGTGATAATCTCATTGCTTTGTATTACGACAGTTTTATCAACTTTCTGGGAAAATTGTCTTTTGATACATCCAGTTTTTCATTTGAAGGATTTTTATCTGAGTTCAATTCACTGTGTCAGGAAGTTGAATTTTGCCACGTGCTGGTAATGTTACGTGCGATTTATGCCAGTGACGAAAATGCTGTAGAAGTTGAAGAAGTGACACCAAGCGATTTCTTCATCTGGCAAGATTCTAAAGTTTGTTCCGCAAGGGCTTGCTTCATTGTACACGAATTTATTAGTCGAGGATGGATCTAATGTCTTACTTTTATATGCTTACTGTACCTACTTAAACTAAGATAAAATACGTCTATTTGCACAAAAATGTTGTAATTCTTTAATTGTGTGTAAGATAACATTCGTTAAACATTTAAAGTAGTGAAACGTGACAATTTTGAGGTAAGTGGGTGATCTTTACATTTTAAATCACTAATCGATTTCCAACAGATGGAGATTCCTGAAATTGAAAATTTTGAAAATCTTCTGTTTGACGTAATTCCACAAAACAAAAAAATCGTTCGATGTGAAAAATCACGCCTATCTGCTCCTGGTGAAAACTTCGCTAGTCTAATTCTGGGTATCAAAGTCACTATTCAAAAGAAAGAAAATGAAGACCTAGAAGAAGAAACGATTCACAGCGTCGCGAAACTCCTTCCTTCAAACAACTTTATGAAGTCGTTTATGAATATTTCACACACTGTACGGAATGAGTTAGCTTTTTATCAAACGATTCTTCCAACCCTTAGAAAATTCCAAGAACAACAAGGTTCGAACAAGTCGCTTCAAGCTTTCCCCAAGTTCCACGGAGGACGATTGAGCTTGGATCAAGCTAATCACACCCTCGACAACAATGCGGTTATCCTTCTCGAAAACCTCAACGAAGACGGCTACTTCGTCATGGATAACTACGCAGGATTCGATCTCGAAGTCACCAAACTAATTTTGTCAAAAATGGCAGAACTTCATAGCACTTTTCTCGCTTTGAAAGAAACCCAAAGGGAGGTTTTCGAGGAAAAGTTGATGCCGTTTTTTGACCAGTTTAAAATTTTTCAATTGGATGAAAACGAAGGGTATATGACATCCGAAATCGTCATCAATGCGATTATCAACACACTACAAGAAGACGAACTGTGTAGTCTATACATGAACAAAATTCAACAAACACTTGAAACATGTGTCCACAATTTGGGCTTGCCGAAGAATTCGCCGAAGTTTCAAGAAGACGTCTTCGCCAGTCTTATTCATTCCGACCTATGGGTCAACAACATCATGGTCAAAACTTATCTGAGTAAAATCGTCGATGTGAAGATTCTAGATTGGCAGCTATACGAATACGCTTCTGTAGTCAAAGATATTTTATTTTTCTTGTGTTCAAGCACCCAGGAGGTCGTTTTCAAGAACAATTTTGACGATTTGTTCAAGTTTTACCACGAGGAATTGATTGCTAATTTGAAAGAACTGAAATGTGATACTGACAAGTTCTCGTTTAACGCATTCCAGGAAGAAATGAAGGTGGTAGCTGGTGAGTCGGCTTTCTTCTATTCCATGATGGCTTTGCCTTCGATTTTTGCTAGTGACGGTAACGTCTGGGATGTTCATGAGTTGAGCAAAGAACGGTTGCTGGGTCAAGTACAACAAATTTCTGATTTTTGTAAAAACAGGATGTGGTTAATCGCGCGGAAGTTTATTCAAAAAGGATGGATATAAAGCCCGACAAGGAAGTACAGCCATGTTTCGTCAATGTATTATCAACTTGTGCAAATGTATTCGCATACTTATATATTAGAGTCGTACTGTTTAGCAAAACATAGATGTTGTAAAATTTGAATAAACTATAAGCATTACTTTGAGTTTGCATAACACTGATATAGTGAAAATGAGTGACATTGAAGACATTTTGTTGAAAGGTAGGTACGCCAATTCCGGCAGCAACAATAAAATAAACCTTCCAGATGACGACGTTTCATGTTTTAAAATTGGGTGACATGTTGCCAAAAAATCTACTTAAAGAAAGGAAACTGGTGGCTGTTCGAGATAGTTATTTTACGGCTGCTGGCGAAAATTATGGTAGTACTGTTATTTCGATCGTCATCACTCTACAACATGAATATTCTAATAAGCAGGAAGAAATTTACACTGTGGCTAAATTCCCACCGCCTGGTGAATTCTGGAGAAGGGTAACCAATAATTCGCACACATTTCGTAACGAGTTAGCCTTTTATCAAACTATATTTCCAACTTTACAATGTTTCCAAAAAGAACAAAACTCAGGTAAAACATTAGAGTTTTTTCCAAAATTTTTGGGAGGAAGATTGAGCCTAAACCCTTTGGTTAAATTTCCGGATGAGGATGCTATAATTCTACTAGAAAACCTAAAGGAAAAAGGCTTCAAGATTCATGATCGATACATTGGTTTTGATATATACACCTCTAAACTCATTTTGAAAAAGCTGGCACAACTCCATAGTGTCACATTAGCCTTGAAACTTAAGAAACCTGCAGAATTTGAACACAAGATTTCACCTTACTTGGAAGAGTATGAAATATTTACTAACGAGGATGGAGTTTTTCAGATTTTGGTGAATAACTTGTTCATGGCACTCGCAGGAGACGATTTTTGTTGTCCATATTTGGATAGAATTAGATCGACAGTTAATACATGTCTGGGTAACTTTTTTCTGCCAAAAAATACGTTAAAATTTCGACAAGATACCTTTGCTACCTTCATTCACAGCGACTTGTGGACTAATAACATAATGGTGAAAACATATATGAATAAGGTACAAGATGTTAAATTGTTAGATCTGCAATTGTTCGAATATGCTTCTGTAACCAAAGACTTACTCTTTTTTCTTTTCACGAGTGTGGAGAGTTCACTATTGATAGAAAATCTGGATGAATTAATAACCTTTTATTACAAAGAACTTAAGGAAAATCTGGAAGAAATGAAATGTTGTGACGACGATTTTTCGTTTAATGCATTTACAACAGAAATGAAGACTGTAGCCAGCAGTATTGGGTATTTTCATGTAATCAGAGGTTTTCCTTTTATTTTTTCTGCTACAAATGTCCTTTGTGAGGGTGAAGAATTTACCAGAGAGCATTTTTTCAAATGCATAGAATTTTCGAAGATATGTACAGCTAGAGTTCGGTTAACCACACGAGTGTTTATCAAGCAGGGATGGATATAATAAGATTTTTGAATAGTTGTCGTGTTAATACGGGGTATTTAGTTAAATTTACGCGGTAAGCATTCTTTGAGCATGCGCACTGTTATGTGTTAAATAAAACTTTTATAATGTAGTAACAGATTGTGAAATTCCTGATTCACGCTGACAAACAAATATTTTTGAAATGTAGAGATAACAAAAACATAATCTGAGTAAGTTTTAAAAAGAAATGGTTTAACTTGTGAATCAGCTTTTTGCTATGTAATGATTGCCTTGCCTTTGATAATAATAACAGAATTTTTTTTAATCACATGAAAGAATTAAGTATGAAATTATAACTAGATTTAGTATCATCACGTACTGCACATGTATGTAAATATGCTTTTTGTTTATACTATTTAGTAAAACCTTGATAATGTAAAATTAAATAAACTCTGAACATCCTAATAGATTTATCTCTTAGACGCAGTTTAGTCCTATTTTCTGACAAGCAAAAAAGTAGTGAACAGTGAATCGTCCAGATGAAGATCCTCCAAGTTTCAAATTTGTCTGACGTCCTACCAAAATCTTTTTTTAAAGACAAGAAATTAGTAAGTGTTCAAAATAATCAATTTACTGCTGCCGGTGAAAATTATGGAAGTTCCGTCATCTCAATCGTCATCACTTTGCAACATGACGATTCACAAGAGCAAGAAGAAATTAACACTGTAGCTAAACTCCTTCCACCCAATCAGTTTATAAGAAACTTCATGAACAGTTCTTACACATTTCGTAACGAGTTAGGCTTTTATCAAACAATTCTTCCAACGTTACGACTTTTCCAAAAAGAACAAACCTCTGTGGAGACGTTAGATTTCTTCCCAAAATTTTTGGGAGGGCGGTTAAGTCTTGACTCGTCTGCGAGATTTCCAGATGATAATGCTATAATTCTACTGGAGAATCTCAAAGACAGTGGTTTTGAGCTCCACGATCGTCACAATGGTTTTGATCTAGAAGCAACCAAATTGATTTTGAAAAGAGTAGCAGAACTTCATGGGGTAGCACTAGCTTTAAAAACTACTCCAGAATTTGAACAAACGTTGTCGTTGTACTTTGAGGAATTTCGGATGTTTGGGGGTGATGATGGACTCCCCATGTTCCAAGTTTTGAAAAATAAGGTGATCAAGGTGCTCGAAGAAGACGAATTTTGTCGCGTCCATATGGACAGAATTAGATTAGCCATAGATGTATGCACTACTAATCTTTTATTGCCAAAAAATGTGGCCAAATTTCGTCAAGACACATTTGCTACGTTCATTCACAGTGACTTATGGATAAACAATATCATGGTGAGGAAGCACCAGAATAAAATAGAAGAAGTTAAATTCCTCGACATGCAACTATGCGAATACGCTTCTATAACCAAAGATCTCTTGTTTTTTCTTTTCACAAGTGTAGAGAACTCAGTGTTAACACAAAGTTTTGATCAATTACTGTCTTTCTACTATAATGAACTAAAAGAAAATCTAGAAAAAATGAAGTGTTATCGAAACGAATTTAGTTTTGACGCTTTGAAAACAGAAATGAGGGATGTGGCCAGTAATATCGGATATTTTAATATTATCAGAGGAATGCCTGCGGTTTTTGGAGCTATAGATGTGGTTTATGAGGCTGAGGATCTTAACAGAGATCGTTTACTACATCAGCTCGAATTTTCGGAAGTTTGTAAAACGAGGATTTGTTTAATCACACGAGAATTTATTCACAAAAGATGGATTTGATGATTTATTGTTAAATTAGGGTTATATTAGAAAATATTTATAGGCAGGCTGAGTGTCAAAATTAACATGTTTAAGGTTATCTAATGATTGCAAAATTAAACACTGATAAATTAAACTGCCCTTGTTTTTATGTTTATGGCAGAGATTACACATATCTATAATAAATGATTTACACATTGAAGTTGGCGTTTTTTTGCCGCCTTGTTGAAACATCAATCACAGTGTTAACGTGGTCTATCGTCACATGTCAGTTTTGAGTTACGGTTATGGCGGATAGTGAAGGTCCGTGTACAGGTGAGCGGCAAATTTAGACCAGTACCCTTTTGATATGATGAATAATCATTGTAAATATTTTGGATTAAGGGATATGTGATATAGATTTAATTGAATACATCTGTGTGTAGTGCGTGTTGTATATATAACCAAAGCTCCCCTCCATTATTGATTGTCAGATGTGTACGTTCTATCCTATCCTCTATCCTTCATCCACGTAATAACAACATGTAATCTGTGCTACAACCCACTTAAGTTAGAGATGGATCTAATCAGTAAATATTTTAAGTAACTTTGAATGTACATACTTGAAATTTATATCATACGTGGCTTTAAGCATAATGGTGTAATTATTTAAACGAGTGATAGCCCCACTTGGTAAACATTCACAGTTTTAAATCAAGTGGTGCATAACTAAGAGGTAAGCGAGTGATAAAAACATTAAGAATCTAATTCGTATTCACTAGATGGAGATTCCTGATATTGTAAACTTTGAAGAGGTCATCAGAGATGTCATTCCAAGCGGGAAAAAATTCGTTCGTTGTGAAAAAGCATTCCTGACTGCCCCTGGAGAAAATTACGCCAGCTTAATGCTGGGTCTTACTACTGTGATCCAGGATAAAGGAAATGGAGACTCTAAAGAGGAAATGATTCATAGTGTGGCTAAACTTCTTGCGCCCTGTGAATTCATGAGGCAGTTCATGAATATTCCATACACAGTCCGTAATGAGTTAGCGTTTTACCAAACAATCGTCCCCACACTGAGAAATTTCCAAAAGGAACAAGGTTCTTCCAAGTCGCTCCAGTTCTTACCTGATTTCCACGGAGGCAGACTGGGTTTAGACAAATCTAAAAACACCCTTGATGAGCACGCAATTCTCATCTTAGAAAACCTGAAAGTACCGGGCTATGTTCTCATGGACAACGAGCTGGGTCTTGACCTTGAAACCACTAAACTAATTTTATCAAAAATGGCCGAACTCCACGGTGCTTTTATCGCACTGAGAGAAACCAAAAAAGACGTGTTTGAAAAAAAGTTGCTACCGTATTTTGACGAATTCGAAATTTTCCAGATGGCTAAAAACGACGGGTTTATGACGTGTGACGTCGTCGTTAATGCCATTACCGACATCATACGGGAGGACAAACAATGTTCCCCCTATATGGATAGAATTCAAAAAATAATCAAAAGCTGCGTAACCAATTTGCATCTACCAAAGAACTCGGCCAAGTTTCGCCAACACGTTTTCGCGAGTCTTATCCACGACGATTTATGGGTTAACAACATCATGGTGAAAACCCACTTGAATAAAGTTGTTGATGTGAAACTAGTGGATTGGCAGCTGTATGAATATGGTTCTGTGGTTGAAGATATTTTATTTTTCGTGTGTTCAAGTGCTCAACATGATGTTTTGAAAGACCGTTTTGATGATCTGTTCAAGTTTTATCACGAGAACTTGATTGATAATTTGATAGAGTTGAAATGTGATGTTGAGAAATTCTCGTTTGATGAATTCCAAAAAGAAATGAAGACTGTGGCGAGCGAGACGGCTTTCTTCTATATGATGATGGCTCTACCGTCGATTTTTCCTACCGGTGATAATGTGTTGGAAGTTCATGAGATAAACAGGGAGGGGATGCTGCGTCAAGTCACACAAGCTTCTGATATTGGCAAAAGAAGAATCGGGTTAATCACCTACAAGTTTATTGAGAAAGGGTGGATTTAACAGACAAGTATTATAATGTGCAAGTGTAGGCAGTATTTTTTCTACAACTACGATAATAAAAAAATTATATTGTTTATAAACTTGTTGGTAATTTGAAGCGACCTCTGTGCAACTAGAATAGAATGGGTTGTAAATTTATTTTTTTATTATTTTGTTTAGAGCTAGTTTTGTCAACATAAAACTAATATTAATGTTACAACGTTTTATGAGTCACCGTGAAATATAGTCACTAATTTGGAAGCCCGACATTTATGCATTGAACATCGTAAATTGTAAATTTTCGGGTCGTATGCAGTCGTTGCATTAAATTTCGATAAAAACAGCATTATAAGTCGACAGGGAAAGTTAAAGGCTTCAATAAAATCACTAAATTAGAAAAATGTGTTACAAACGCCATCTGTGGGTGCGTCTTTGAACTGATTAGAAATTATAATTTTGAATTACACGACTTTGTCAAATTGCGATTTTGTCCGTGTTACAAGTTTGATAATTTTCTTTTTAGATTTCAATTCAATACTTTTTTGTTTAATGGTTTCATATTTCTAAATATTATAAACGGAGTGTCATTAATCATCACGAATCATTGGTCTGTTACAAAGTTTTACAAAATAAACGAAATTAGATCCAACCAACGTTATTACTTTGCAGTATTGGTGGTTGCATAAACAAAAATAAATTTCTATTATTTCTATGCACAATTGTTCTATTTACATTACAAAATACTTAATTGGATTTTCATCCACATGCTGAATAATGAATTATTTAACTTAAATTGCAAAATTCCGCAAACCATTTGCTTTTCATACGTTAGCGCTCCGATTTGATCTACATTTAATTAAAACATCACCGACTTAACAAAATTAGATCTAAAAGTGTTACAATTAGCACTAATTAAAAACAACCTTGCTCCAGCACGCATGCGCAGATGTCCCTAGACCGTCTTGGTTACCAATCGACGTCCATCCAGTTCGTTTCGTACTTCTTTTGTTTTGACTTGTGTTGACAGTCAATGACGTTCGTCATAACCTTAACAACGAATTTTTTCATTCAAACTTTTAACCATGTGAGTGAATCATGTAGTTCTTGAAAGAATTTTTCACACTTTGTCGTCATTACCATCATAAAGATTTCGTCTGTTTGCATTTTATTTAGTTACCGACTTGCTATGAACAGGTGACAGTAATTTTTGAAACATTTGAAAATCGACGACAGTAAGTTGCCGCAATGACTGTTACCTACACGGCAGAGGTGGCGACTTGCCGGGGGCTGGGGTGTTTTTTAAAATTGTTGAAAAGGTAAGTGTTGTTTAATTACTTTTACCTTGATAGTATCGCGTGCTGGTAATTGCTTTACAGTTATCAAACATTACGTGCGTGTTTTCGGCTTGATTGTAGTACGAAAAGTGTGACTGTGGGGAAAAAATACAGTCGGAGAGAAAGCAGTGGCGTAACAGGGCGGAAGTGGATTCACGATTAATTATCGGAAATGAAAAAGGATAAGCGGCGTGGAACGAATACCCAATTCCCATTGGGTATTACGGGAGGTGACGTAATGCGATTGGTGATTTATAGCTATGATGCATGACATAATTCACAAAAGTTGTAAAAATTATTACCTTTGCAAGTTCAGAGAACTCGTAAATTTTACAAGTTAATTCATGGTTTCTTTGTTTTTCTTTTCTTTGTTTGTTAATCGAAGCTCAGTTAATTGTTCAATGAACTAGTAGGAGATAATTGACAAAAGACGACATTCCAGTAATTCTTAAGTTATATGTGTGGGTTTAAAATGAACCAAACCCTAAGATTGTGTAACTAAAATATAACCTTGGTTTCCACAGTTTCTATAAAATATTTATTTTAATAAATTTTATGAACATCAGCTGATCAAAATAAACCAAATATACGTAATTATTTATTGTAACACAAATGGAAAAATGTAGAAATGTTAAGGACGTTGAAAGTTTGAACCTTTAAATTATACTGTTTTCTGTAATTCGGGTGATGTAGAGCATTGATAAAATTGTCAAATACTATAAATTTATCCAAAAGTACGCCTTAAACACAGTATTGATTTGTTTTTATTCTGTAGGACTGAGTACGTAGCGCTCACAAAATTTGATGTATCGTTGGACATATTTATCGATTACCTAAAAAATAGCTTACCGAATTTCTCTGAAGTGTTGTTTATATACATACATTAACGTATTTATCTTTGACATCATCTCAAAAAACCTAGAGTGGTCTAAAATGTAAAAAACAAATTTTCAATTGCATTTTCTTGCATCTGCTGTCCAATTTGTCAATAAACTCAATCTTTATTACAACGGGTGATTTTTTTGCGAAACCTGGGTTAGTTTAATTGGTACTTACGTTGTCCAACAAACATTTGATATTATCAAGAGAACTAAAAATCCGCGTACTGAGCAATAAATCAAAACTGCAGAGGCGATTTATCACCAGTGACGTAGGTGGCAGTTGGAGGTTTCGCAATTACAATACACCTAAATACCCATTTAACTGACTGAACTCGTCTTAGCAACCGTTAAACAGCAATTTGTCTCCCTCGTATAAACAACCTGACATCATGTTTTCCCAACCTGCTGATTTTTTTCCTCCGTTTATTTATATTTTCTCCCGTTAATTTACAACTCGGTTCCGCCACTGCTTAATCGCTTTATTTTTATTGCTCGATAAAACCCACTCGGTTTATTGTTGCGGTATTTAATACCCGTCTTGTTTACTTTTCAGATGGAAAGGAAGTATTTACAAATTGGTCTGGATTGACCTCCTCGTTTTTCTTCTCATTTATTACAGCTTGAACTTCACCTACCGCTTCGCTTTAGACGACACGGGTAAAGAATTGTTCGAAAGCGTGGTCCAATACTGCAAACTCTACAGTACTTTGATTCCTTTATCGTTCGTTTTGGGTTTCTATGTATCTGTGGTGATGACCCGATGGTGGAATCAATACACTGCGATCCCGTTTCCTGACCCTTTGGCGGTTTACGTAAGCGCTACGGTGCACGGTCAGGACGAAAGAGGAAGGGTCATGAGGCGTACGATTATGCGTTATGTGTGCCTCTGTGTCACTATGATGTTTGCTATGATTTCGCCCCGAGTCAAGAAGAGGTTCCCGACTTTGGACCACTTCATCGAAGCGGGGTTGATGCACCAGAGCGAGAAGGACATCATTGCCGACTTGAATAAAAAGTTCCCGAATCACTCCAAGCACTGGTAAATCCGGAAAAGTTACAACAAGGACGGAAATTATTTGATTTTATAGGTTACCGATTGTTTGGGCCGCCAGTATAATCACCAGAGCGCGAAAAGAAGGCCGAATTCGGGACGATTTTGCCGTGAAGACGATGTTAGACGAATTGAACAAATTCAGAGGACAGTGTGGCCTTCTACTAAGCTACGATATGATCAGTGTGCCCCTAGTATACACCCAAGTAAGACTTCTTCCCTAAACACAAGATAAACATTCACATGAAACATTATAGGTGGTCACCCTGGCCGTCTACAGCTACTTTCTCACCACCCTCATGGGCCAACAATGGGTGGAAGGCAGCGATTACAAATTCGACCTCTACTTCCCCGTCTTCACCACCCTCCAGTTTTTCTTCTACGTCGGCTGGCTCAAAGTCGCCGAGTCCCTCATTAACCCCTTCGGCGACGACGACGACGACTTCGAGATCAACTGGATGGTGGACCGCAACCTCAACGTGTCCTACTTGATCGTGGACGAGATGCACCACGACCACCCAGAGCTCGTCAGAGACCAGTACTGGGACGAGGTGCTGCCGCAGCAGCTCCCCACCACGGGGATAACCACCCGCGAGAACCAGCCGCTCCCGTCCACGGCTAACATCCAGGTCCACCCCAAGGTGGAGTCCGACCTCATCGGGCCGTCGTCGCTGAGCAAAGCCGAGGAGCTTAATTTGATGAACGATATGCAGAGTGGACCGATTATGTTCTCGGCGAAGCCAGGGCGAGGGAGCTCGCAGACCTCTATGGGGAACTCGGTGCCGGATTCGCGGCCTATGTCGAGGACGGGGTCGGTGGCGAGTATGTTCAAGAGGTTACTGAGTAGGGAGGAGAAGCCGAAGGCGGAGGATAGTCAGGAGTTGACGCAAGTAAATGTGAAGAATCCGGGTAGTGCGAAGAAGCTGACGACGGAGGTGATCGAGGAGGTGGACGAGCAGACGACGATCACGTCGCAGAGGTCGGCGAAGGAGTCGAGGCCGACGGTGCTGGGGCTGTTCGGGGCGCCGCCACCGTCGGAGCCTATTAGTGTGCCTAATTCTAGCGGTAATAGTCATAGGTGAGTGGGAAGAACAGTAAACGCGTGGTTTGAAAATTTCAAAATAATTAAATTGATGGAACTATTAGAAGTTCTGTGGTTGATTTTATTGATTAAGATGTGGGTATCCGGCCAAATCTAATTTTAATGACACATTATTGATTAGTATAACGGTAATAATCAAATTAAATCAGTTTTAACACTCTTATTTGTGTTTACATGTTTACTAAAAAAAGATATACTATGTCCTAAGTGACATAGTTTTGTTATCCAACGTGAGACAAAAAAATACAATTTAGTAGTAAATATGTAAAAAAATGTGTTTGTTGTGCCACTTACTTTATCTATATTATTTTTTGACGTTATATGGTTGTCACGTGAGCATAGCATAACACAATTTATTTCATTTTAAATAAAAGAAACACTTTATGCCAATTATTTATTGGTACCCGGGTGGGGTTTTGTTTTTACCGATACGGAACGAAGCGATAAATGACAAGGATGAAAATATAAATTTCAGATGCGAAAGAAAAAGAGAACCACATTTTATCGGTACCGATATTTTATCCTTATAGAAACAAAATCCCACCCCCGGTTTCGGGTTGCTAACCCTTGTTTTGTTCAAAAATTCTTAGGTTAGAATCATATAAATCGAGTTCTTTTATATTGTAGGGCGGTCATCCGGGTTTGGCTGATGAAGGGTTAGCAACCCGAAACTGGTGTCAATAAAATAAATAAGGAATAGTGGACAGAAAGTGTTTCTTTTATTTAAAATTAAATAATACCAATATCCAAAAATAACATAATTTATACTTGAAAAAAATTTCAAACATAACCAGTGATGTAGAGAATATGTTTTAATTAAAAACAAAAATATCTAGGTTTTTTCGTATTTCATAACGTAGCGATTTCATTAGACGAATAATCTTCGAAACTACTGGACAGATTGCTCTGAAATTTTCGGGATAATTTAAGAATATGATGAAATGCTACCAAAATTTGTCTGTACATCCGCACCAACAAGTCTGATGACATCATTTCAAAATTTTGCAAAGTAAATCTTACTAAAATTTGTTTTTGGAAAAAATTGGAATTTCATTTTTTTTTGTTATCCATTTGAAAAACTTGATTATCTCATCTGAAAATTGTATGGTTTATCAATGTACATATTTATATTTTTTATTGCTTTTTTGGTCATCTTTTTCCCACCTCTTTAAATGCCGTTTTGTCGCTTTTTTCTGGTCGTTTTTTAATCTATTTTTTGGTCGTTTTAATCGTTTTGTTGTCCTTTCTTGTCGCTTTTTTTATTACTTTTATTTTTGTGGCTTTTTTTGCTGTAAATTTTTTTAGTACCTTTTTTAACCCTCTTCTTTGTTGCTTATTTGGTCATTTTTGTGGCATTTTTGTCTGTTTATTGTCGGTTTTTTAATTCTCTTTTTGTTAACCGTCTTTTTTATGACCCTTTTTTGGCGTCGTTTTTTATCTCCTTTTTACATTTTTTGGGCTCTTAATTGTCACTTTTTTTTACTCTTGTTTCTCTTAGTCGCCCTTTTTTTTTATTGTTTTTTTTGACAATTTTGTTTGTCTTTTTCGTATGTATTTATTTTATCGCTTTTTTGTTGTCATTTTTTTCATTGTTGTCATCGGTTTTTTCTCTTTTCTAGTTTTTGTCGCATTTTTTGTAACTTTTTGATGGCCTTTTTTTTCTTCGGCAATTTTTTAATTGCCTTTTGTCGCCTTCTAGTTTTTGTCGCATTTTTTGTAACTTTTTGATGACCTTTTTTTTCTTCGCAATTTTTTAATTGCCTTTTGTCGCCTTTTATGCCCCTATTTTGTCGCTTTTTTTTTGGAGTTTTTCGTCGCCCCTTTTTGACTTTTACCTCTCTTATCGCTTGTTTCGGAGTTTTGGTCGCTTTTTGTAGTCTTTTTTCCTTTAATTTTTTAATCGCATTGTTCTTGTTTTTTTCGTGCCTTTTTTATTGATTTTTTTGACACTTTTTTAATGCCCTTTTTTCGTATTTATTTTATCGCTTTTTTGTCGCTATATTTTGAATTGTTGTGATTGTTTTTTTTTTTTTCTCTTTTCGTCTAGCTTTTGTCGAATTTTTTGTAACTTTTTGATTGCCTTTTTTTGTTACCCTTTGTCACTTTTGCGCCCTTTTGTCTACATATTTTTTTGCCTTTTTTTTCTACGGCATTTTTTTAATTGCCTTTTGTCGCCTTTTCTGCCTCTATTTTGTCACTTTTTTTTTGAGTTTTTCGTCGCCCTTTTTTACGTTTTATTACCTCTTTTGTCGCTTTTTTCAGACTTTTGGTTGCTTTTTGTAGTCTTTTTTCCGCCAATTTTTTAATCGCATTTTTTTTTTAGTACCCTTTTTTTCAGTCTATTTTTGTCACTTTTTTTGTCTGCTTGTTGCATTTTTATGCTCTTTTTTGACTTCCTTTTTCTTTTTGTTGGCTTCTTTATTACTTTTATTGTGACATTTTTATATTTATTTTATGGCTTTTGTCGCTATCCTTTGTGTTTTTGACATTTTGTAACACTTTTGTGCTCGTTTTTTCATAGTTTTTTAAATCTTTTTTTGCCTCCTTTCGTATTTATTTCTCGCATTTTTTTGTTGGTGATTTTTTTTATTGCCCTTTTTTGTTTCTTTTTTGTGATTTTTCCACACTTTTGCCTTTACATGTTTTTTCACCTTTTTTTTCTGTATTTTTTAATCGCTTTTTGTCTTCTTTTTTGCATTAATTTTTTTTGTTCCTTTTTTTGACGCCGTTTTTTATCTCATTTTTACATGTTTGTGCTCTTAATTGTCACTTTTTTACTCTCTTTTCTCTTAGTCGCCCCTTTTTTATTATTTTTTTACATTTTTTTCAATGCCTTTTTTCATATTTATTTTATGGCTTTTTTATCGCCATTTTTTTAATTGTTGTGATCGTTTTTTTTTTCTTTCTTTTCGTCTAGCTTTTGTCGCATTTTTTATAAGTTTTTGATTGCCTTTTTTTTGTTACCGTTTGTCACTTTTGCGCCCTTTGGTCTTTACATTTTTTTTGCCTTCTTTTCTTCGGAATTTTTTTAATTGCCTTTTGACGCCTTTTATGCCTATATTTTGTCGCATTTTTTTTTCATCGCCCTTTTTTGCATTTTATTGCCTCATTTGTCGCTTTTTTCGGACTTTTGGCCGCTTTTTGTAATCTTTTTTCCGTAAATTTTTTTTGTTTTCCTGTCTTTTTTGTGCCCTTTTTTCCAGGCTATTTTTATCACTTTTTTTGTCTGCTTGTTGCATTTTTATGCTCTTTTTTGTCGCATTTTTGACTTCCTTTTTTTTGTTACTTTTTTTATCGCTTTTGTCGCTATCCTTTGTGTTTTTGACAATTTTTGACCTTTTTGTGCTCGTTTTCTCAAATTTTTTAAATCGTTTTTTATCTTTTTTGCCTCCTATCGTATTTTGTTCTCGCATTTTTTGTTACTTTTTTGTGACTTTTCTACATTTTTGCCTTCACATGTTTTTTCACCTTTTTTGCTGTATTTCTTATTAATCGCTTTTTGTCGTCTTTTTTCATATTTTTTTAAAATCTTTTTTTTTTACTTTTTTTTGTCGTGATTTTTTTATTGCACTTTTTGTTACTTTGTGTGATTTTCTCACACTTTTGCCTTTACATGGATTTTCATTTTTTTAAATCACTTTTTGTTGTCTTTTTTGCGTCTATTTTTTTTTGACCTTTTTTTCGCACTTTTTTTTATCGCTTTCTTTTGTCGTTTTTATCCAATTTTTTTGCCGTTTTTTAGCATTGTACTAAACGCTTTATTTTGTCATCTTTTTCCGCTTTTTTAATCGTTTTTTACTTTATGCCGTCTTTTATGCGGTCTATTTTTGTTGCCCTTTTTTTTGTTCCATTTTTTGCTTATTTGGGACATTTTTTCTTTTTGTCTTTTAACGAATAAAAACCTGAAGTATTTTAAATCCATTGATCCCCAAGTAATAAAAAAAAATACGCTTTGGAATATTTTTCTAAACTGTGTGAGACATTAAATAATATCATCCTAGGTAACGCTGTAGAAGAGTACAGGTTATTAAAATTTGAAACCTTACCAACATTAGAAAAGACCGATAGAATTGACAATTACTGTATAACATTTTTTGAAAGACTTACGTTTTGTTTGTTTTATATGTATAAGTAATAGGAGTAAAATTTTTAGCTGAATTCGAACACTCACTTTTTTTTACTATTTTCCCAGCCGAACTCACTTTTTTCACTTTTTTTAACACAAAATCTGTGTGGAAGCCCTGAATTATTTGTTTCTGTTTTTTTTTTTCGTCTATTTTGTGCTGCTTTTTTCTTCGTCTATTTTGTGCTGCTTTTTTCTGTTCTCTTTTTACTCCCTTATTGCTAGTGCCCGTTTTAAGGCCAATTTTTGTTTGCTTGTTGCAATTTTTGATCACCTTTTTTTTGTTGCTTTTCTTGTGTCTTTTTGCCTTTTTTTGTAAATTTTTTCACTATTTTTTGTGCTCCATTTTTTTGCGCAACTTTGTTGCTTGATTCCGTTTTCCATGTTTATTTTACTCTTGCTTTTGTCGCTTTTTTCCATTTTTTTAATCGCACTTTTTTTACAGTTTTTTTTTTGTTTTTTGTCATTTTTTGTTTTTCTGCTGTTTTTGACGTTTTTTTTTTTTTTGTTTTTTATGCTCTCTTTTTATTAGTCATAATTTTTTGTCGCCTTTTTTGCAATTTTTCGTACGCCGAAATAATTTTAGACCACTTTTTTTGACAATTGACCATCGACTTGTTTAACCAGAGTTACATTAGATCCTTATCACTCATCCATATATCACTGAACCCTGCAGTATCACAACTGCAATTAAACACATTGCGAAACCTATTAAAATTATCTATTCATTGCGGCCATCTAGATGTTTTTTTACGTAAACCTGAAGTACCCATACAAGCAACTCGACTGATTTCATGTTAACTAACCTTCACTTCAATTACAGCCGCCCGTTTAATTGAAAAAACTGACGCAACTGATACGCGTTAATTAGTTTCAGTAGGAGTGTTTACGACCCGTTTCCACTATCAACCTCTGCCCCGGTGACCCAAGACGACTTCAAAGACACCACGGACAAAGTGAGCATCGGCAGCTCCGCCTCCGAGAAAGACGAATTCGAAGAACTGAAAAAGAAACGCGACGAAGAGAGAATCAGCAGGCTCAAACTGAACCTGCTGAGGTCCACCAGCATGGTGGACGGCGGCACCGAATGCGACCTCCTCCTCGACTCCAACGACGCCAACGAACCCCCGTCCACACCCCGTTCACCCGCTTCGGTAGTTTAACCAGTATTAAATTAATCGCAGTGTTCGAATAGTCAATTTTCAAAGTGCCGCCTCGATGCTGGTAGCGGATTGGACTCCCAGTTGGCCTATTTTGGCGCCAAAGCGCGTGATTGGTTAAGTCGGTTGGTCATCGATTCAAATGTGATACTGAGAGATTTTATATTTTGATATTTATTGAAGGTGTCGACACGTGTGGGCAGGCACTGTTTGCGCTTTGGGTATTATGTACATATTTATATAAGAAAGAATTTCTTGACTCACTTTTTTACGCAATAAATTATTATTATTGACTCTTTGTGGTTTTATTTTTTTATTCATTAGCGCGAGTTACATAAATATCTTATCAAGTTGAAAGTGAAAATCCTATGACAATACTAAGAAAACAAGATAAGTGAGGCGATAACAACTGTGATTCGCTAATGTTTGGAATGATTCAAAATGACTGTGACTTACACGAGAGAAGTAGCGACTTGCCGCGGTTTGTCCCGGTTCCTCACGCTTCTACTAAGGTAAGAAATGACATCTTGCGGGCGCTATTAAAACGAAATTTTAGATGGAGAGGCAGCATTTACAAACTCGTATACTGGGAGCTAGTGTTCTTCTTAGTTATTTACTACTTGCTAAACATAGTCTACCGATGCCTCTTAGATAAAACCGGGAAAGAGTGAGTAATCGTCGGGAAGTGACATCATACTATATTATAGTCCCTCAGGTGGTTCGAAGACATAGTCAAATACTGCAACGCTAGCACAAACTACATCCCTTTGTCGTTCGTCTTGGGGTTCTACGTTTCCATAGTGATGGCCCGGTGGTGGAACCAATACCTTTCCATCCCTTTCCCAGACGCTCTAGCCGTCTACGTAAGCGCAACCATCCACGGACACGTACGTAACTCAAACCAACTCCGACACAAATAACCACCTTTAAACAGGACGAACGAGGGCGAGTTATGCGCAGAACCATCATGCGTTACGTCTGCCTTTGCGTCACCATGCTCTTCACCAATATATCACCCAAAGTGAAAAAACGCTTCCCCAACCTCGATCATTTCGTTAAAGCAGGGTTGATGGAAGAAAGCGAGAAACGGGTGATCCAAGAACTGAATCAACAATTCCCCGCGTACTCCAAACACTGGTTGCCACTAGTGTGGGCTTCCAGTATTATAACACGAGCTAGGAAAGAAGGCCGGATTAGGGACGATTTTGCGGTGAAGACAATCCTAGACGAAATAAATAAGTTTCGGGGGAAATGTGGTATCTTGATTACGTATGACCGGATAAGTATACCTTTAGTGTATACACAGGTCGTTACTTTAGCCGTGTACACGTATTTTCTGACGGCTTTGCTCGGGCGTCAGAATGTAGAAGGACATGGTTACGTTATTGATTTATACTTCCCTATTTTCACGCTTTTGCAGTTTTTCTTTTACATGGGGTGGTTAAAAGTGGCCGAGACTTTGATTAACCCGTTTGGGGATGACGATGACGACTTTGAACTAAACTGGATGGTTGACAGGAACTTGCAAATTTCGTACTTGATTGTTGACGAAATGCACCATGAGCACCCCGAGTTGATTAGAGATCAGTACTGGGATGAGGTACTACCAACTGAGTTGCCATACACTGAAGAAACTCAAAAGGAAATGCACCCTTTACCGTCGACTGCTAATATAATATCCAAGTACGAAGACGATCTAATCGGGACGTCCATGTTCCGAATCAACGACTTGAATAGCGTCAAGGGTTCGCAGTACTCTCTCGCGGGTTCACCCAGTACCCTCCGCACCCGAACTAACTCCGTTACTAGTCTTCTACGCAAGTTTATGCGGAGTGAGAGCATGTCCAATGACCCAGAACAAGAAATGTTGAAGAAAATTCCGCAACGAAGACTCGAAGAAGTCATCGAAGAGGTGGACGAGCAGCTCACGATGATGTCTATGCGCGACGAACCTCCCAAACCGTCAGTCAGAGATATTTTTAGTCACGTTTCTAAACCCATTGATATTCCGTCGCCTGTCAGGTATCTCGATAGCGATAAATGGATCAAAAAATGACTTTGTGTTTACAGAACTGATAACGACGACCCCCTCTCTTTCGAAGCTCTCAGACAAAGACGGGAAGAGGATAGATTACGAAGGATTAAGACGAATTTGACGCGGTATCTCGAAAGTAAGGACGCCCCACCGTCTCCACACGGTAGCGTATCGGGTGATAAATCATAGTTTGTAAAATTATCGAACAGTGATAAAGTTTCTGATAACGTTTGTGTTTTATTACGTCAACCTCCGCGCTATTGTCGAAAATGACTGTAACGTATACAAGCGAAGTGACCACGTGTCGAGGTTTTTCGACTTTTCTCAAACTCCTAGCAAGGTACCTAGGTCAGTACTGATCGTACTGCTGCTAAAGTACTCTTTCGTAGATGGCGCGGCAGCATTTACAAGCTCGTGTGGGTGGACCTTCTTTGCTTCCTGATTTTGTACTATGCGATCAAAATTTGCTACACCTATATCCCTGAAGCAAACCAACGGTAAGTAAGGTCGAAACGTTTCCGAGTTTTTACTAAGTTGACGTAAATATCTCAAAATAACGCAATTTTTAAGTGACTTCGAAAAAGTCATCATGTACTGCGACAAGTACACCAATTTGGTACCTCTGAGCTTCATTCTGGGTTTTTATGTGAGTGTGGTCATGACCAGGTGGTGGAGCCAGTACTGTTCCATCCCATTCCCCGATAACTTAGCCATTATAGTGGGTGCTAGTGTCAAAGGCCAGGTTGGTACCAAAATGTCAAAAATCACTCATTCAAATGTCGCATTTTCTAGAACGAAAGGGCAAAAATTGTCAGACGCACCATAGTTCGTTACATTTGTGCCACTTTCACGATTACTCTGACGATGTTATCGCCTCGAGTGAAGAAACGTTTTCCAACCCTCGACCACTTCGTAGGCGCCGGTCTTTTGACAAAAGATGAAGTTAAAATATTCAACGACTTGGACAACGAATTCCCTAGTTATTCCAAATATTGGTACTATTTGTCCACCGCGTCGTCCCGATTTAGTTATTGAATTTCTAGGCTTCCGTTAGCATGGGCGGCCAATATTGTCACCCGTGGACGTCACGAGGGTCTAGTGCGTGATGACGTTTCGGTGAAGACAATACTCGAAGAGTTAAACATCTTCAGGAGCAAGTGTGGCGGAATGCTCGATTATGACTGGATTAGCGTACCTTTGGTCTACACTCAAGTTGTTACACTCGTGGTTTATTTATACTTTATAGTCACAGCTATCGGAAAACAGTACATTCCACTCAAAGGGGACGAAGATATGATAGATTTGTACTTCCCTTTTTTTCTAGTTATTGAGTTTGTGTTTTACATGGGTTGGTTAAAAGTGGCAGAGGTTTTAATCAACCCTTATGGTGACGACGACGACGATTTTGAAGTCGTGTGGATGATAGATCGTCACCTTCAAGTTTGTTATTTATTGGTGGATAAAATCCATCAAGAACACCCTCAACTAGTGAAGGACATCCACTGGACCGAGACTGCGCCAAATTCGCTGCCGTTTACTGTAGCGTCAAAAGAGTACATGCAAGAGTACCCCTTTCCTTCCACTATGAATATGAAGATAAAGAAATCTGAACAGGATTTAGTAATGCCAGTTGAAGAGTCTATATCGCAAGTAATACTTTTTCAGAAAATTGTTCACAAAAATGATGTTTTTGTTTAAGCCTGATGGGGTAAGACACCGCTCAGGGCCGTACTTATGGAGGTTGTATGGACGCATGAAGGGTCAAAATAACGGTATGACCAGTTTCCCCTTAACAAAAGTCAGCAGTTTTGACAATCACGACGGTGAAGTAAGTCAATCGCGATTTTGTGCACTCTAATCACGTAATTTTGAAGGTTGGCGACGACGTAAATTACTACGACGAAACCGTCCAACCTACTCAACCCCAGCCAGAGTCAGAATGCGAGGAATTCGAGCAACTCAAGCGCAAACGAATGGAAGAACGCCGCCAAAAAATTCTCGACTACATGAACATGACAAAGAAAGATAAAATGTAATATTGTAACACAATATAAATTAATATAGTTGTATAAAATAGCACAATAATTTCATTGCTATATCCATATCTTCATAATAAGCTGCAGGAGATGTATACGTGCGATAAGGGGAGATTATAACGTTTCAACGAATTCAGTCTGTTTTCCAGTTTTTTTGATAACATCTAGAATTTCCTCAGATGATAAAGTAGTTTTTACTTGTACTCTTTGCGCCGGCAAATCGATACTAATATCTTGAACACCCTTATCTAAAAATGTCCTTATCATCGTGTGCATAATGGAAAAATGACTCACCTTTTAACTTATTTAGGACTCTCTGGACAGCTCCTGAGCAGCCTTCACATGTCATTGCGACTTTGTAAATGTGCACTTGGGGCTACGGAAAATGAAATGAGGGGCGAAATTGGGGCAAGGGGGCACTTACCGACGACATATTTTCCTCCTGGGGAAAACGATAAAGTGAAATTCAAACGATCTGATAACTTCAATGTTGACACGTTTTTGACATAACTGATGCAGTGTGTCTACGACTTCTAGTGACTTTCAAGCTGATAGTAGTTCTCTTTTATATGTGAAATGAACTACTTGCACAAAAAAATTCAAAATATAATGCAACCATTGAAATATAAAGCGACAGCAATAATTTACTAGATGTAGACAAGCTTTGATCAAGTTTAAATCAATAAATGGATAATTTAAACTTAATTTGGATGTGATTTTTGGGGTATTAACACAACCACGTTGGTAATGATGAGTGTCATTGAAGTGTCGATTTCGAACGAAATTTTTGTTGTAGCCACTTGTTCGTGAACACGAGAAGAGTGCTAATTTATAAGTACAATATAAATGTATGAATAGTTTGTAGACAAAACTGGGTTTTCGTAGTAAGATTTGTAAACACATTCTTCCATATCAATAACATTATCAAGAATTTCACGCACGCGCACTCGTCCCGTTATGATGTAAATAAATGTCAGCTGATACTTTGTATTTACCATCTTATTTACAAAATTTGTTATGACTAATACCACGTAAGATAAAATACCTTCCACAAATTACCCGTTCAAACCAAAACAAGCAGCATGGAGGCAGAGAAACCCAAACCAAAAACTAAGGTTAGGAATCCACACTTACCACCCCATACTAACAACAATTTTCCAGAAAAAACGCGAGAAAGCCGAAATTAAACAAACCCCACCCACTACAGACCAAGTAACGGAAGTGAAAAACGCCGATAAAGACATTGATAGCTGTGAGGAAGCCGCCAAAGAAGAAACTGCGTCGCAGGTTTCAGACGGCGTAGAGGCGATTGAGGTTGTCGAGGAAGTTAGATCGGAACAAACCGAGCCCCCTACAGCTCCCGTTGAACCCCAACTTAGCGAATTTGACCGGCTGTTGAACCTAAACAGGAATTTGGCGTGTGAGATCAGCAACCAGCAACAGCAGGATAGTTTTGTGAACGCGGAAAAGAAAATCGATAATGGGGCGCAAAAAGCCGCCATTAAGCCGTATACGGAGTCGCAGCTGGCTGCGTTGTATACGAATAGTGAATTGGAGATGTTGGAGCAGTTCACTTCGCAGTATGTTGAGGCGGAATTGAAAGGACTGGCGGCAAAACAACATCCATTGTATGAGTTATTGGCGAGTTATTTACAAGTTAGGGGTAAAATTACAGGTAAAAGTTTTTGATTTTTACTTCAATGCCAAGTTGATAAAGTTGAAATTGTGACCAAAACAGTGACTTTGGGTTTTAAACTTTGACGTTTTGTCAGTGTCATTTTTATCGTCCCTATTTTGATATTCACGTTTGGTTGTTTTCATTGTAACTGCAGAAATTAATTGTTGATGTTATTTCATAATGTCTAAAACTGTTGTCAAATTTCTATTGGCCATGGTTTTTGTAACTTTTGCTCCTCATTTTGTCATCATTTTTTTCGCACTGATTTTCTTTAGAATTATCGTCTGTATTATTATTACTACAATAATTTTTTTGTATTGTTAATTGATTCCTTTCACTCTGGTATATTTATTATTTTTTTATTTATTATGTTATTTATTGTTGCTAAAAATGAGGAAGCAAAAAAAATATTTTATTACATTTTTTTTCTTTGGCCTTCAGGCAACAGCCTCGAACTGGACCAACTGCGCAAAGAATACCACGACCTCCAATCCATGCTATGGACCACCGACACCGCCACCGTGACTGGCAGAGGCGAATGCCTCGACGGCAGCAACGTCACAGCCACCCACTCATACCAAAAAGCCACATTCCACAGGTCCGTATTCCAGAGCATCGTCCGCATCTTGGGCCTAGTGCGAAAATTAACCTACGAGAACCACACCCTCTACGCTTACACAGCCGAAGATCTCCGGCTGCAGGTCCGTACCGCCCTTCTCGCCCGAAAACCCCTAACCGAACCGTTTCAGATCGAACTCTACATTCAAACCGCCATCCACAACTGCATGAACGTATCCCGACTGGATAAAGACGCCCCCGTGATTCTCTCCTTACAGAACGAACCGCTACACCTCAAACCGTACCTGTGCGAAATCCGGCTCTGCATATCCGTGATTTTTTCGTTCCAACGCAAGTTGATTCGAGATTCTCAATTTATCAAAGAGAGCCGTGAGTGGCTGAGTCGGTTAGTCGCAGTCTTGTTGCGATTATCCACCTACCAGGACCATTTGTTCATTTTGAACCATATACTGCGGTGTCCCCCAGGAGTCGGTTCATGGGCCGCGCCTTTCATCCAAACACCTCTGGATGAAAGAATTTCAGATTCGCCGTTTTCGTCGTACCAGATTAACCACGTTCTGTCGATTTTGACGATGATTTTGACACCAGTCAAGGAAAGGGAGCGCTTTTTGGAAGATATTTCGCAAAGTCGGGACACCCCGGGTGAGTCTTTGTGGATCGTGGTGGACTCCGAGGGCGAAGAAGACGACGAATCAGGCAGTTCGTTACGAGAGAACGACCTAGTGGCATTTTTAACACAGCTACCTTTGGAAAATCTCTTCAGGAACGTGCTTCTAGTCGATCGAAAAAACTTCGAAAATTGCTATGATTTTTCGAAAGTGACGCAACACCACATTTTGCGGTTTTTATCCTTCGGGACCGTTTTGCTCAAAATCATAGATAAAGGGCTGCGCACGTATGACCAGTCGCGCTATAACCAATTCTCGAAGCGTCTCAGTCGTATGATCCGTCACGTGGTGCAGTACGCTACGGACCAATGGGAACAGTTCCGGAAAGTCCCGAATTTTGACGATCCGGCGATGATGGAACGACTGCAAGTTGAATACGACGCGTTTTTCCTACGTGCCATCTACTACCTGTACACTTCGCAGAGGCTAGGGGCGTGGCAATTTCTGGCTGTGATACCGTATAACCTGATTACTATTAAAACCGCTTGGAAGATTTTTTATTTCTTGCACGATTCGGATTTGTGCGCCCAGGAGATTCTCAAGCCTGAGGATGACGTCGATTATAGGGAGAAACTTTGGCTGGGGGCGTTTCGGTCCCAGTTTGAAGACAAACTAGCGTCTTTGGCGGATGACGAGCTCTACTATCTTTTGAACACGTTTGCGAATATGGCGTTAGAACGAGAGAGTGAAGATCGCGATTTTATTGAAACGGCAACTAGAGATTTGTTGCAAGTGGGGTTTATCAGTAGGAGTACTCAAGAGATTTGTTCCAAGTCGGCGCGAACACTTTTGACACATATCACGTCCAAGCACCCACACTTGTTGTCAATGATTTTGAAAGAAGTTAAAGAGAATATAGAGACTGCTGGTCCTTTGGTACTATATTTGTACGAGGAACTACCTCTGACGATTTGGAGGATATCGGAAGACGACTTGGCGATAATAGCGTGGCTGCTTTCTAACAATATCGCTTGTAATGAAAGCAAACTGGCGCGGATGATTCTGTCGCGTCTCAACTGGGATATCTTACCTTACGACATGCATTGCGACGTAGCCTTATTAGTAGTGAAGGCTGCGGACCAAGAACCCGGGTACTTACAGTGGGCTTGGCAGACCATCCTGCGATTGAAGCTCCACATCAGCGATAAAGCCTTCACCGACATCAAACAAGTACTAGATCCAGATCACTACGACGTTATTATGAAAGGTATCCACCAACAGCAACCCTTGTCTAGCTTCGTCGCTGTTCTTATGACCTCCTGGGGTCACTTGATACCTTTAATCTGCGGCAACGGGCTCTCTCAACTCCTGTTTCTCCAAACCCACCAAAAACACGAAGCCGTGCTTTTCGCCCTCTACGTAATCGTCCCTTTATTCATTAACTCGCAAGAGTACATCATCAACAACGAACGTTTCCAGGAGATAATCTCAAATTTGATTAACGCGGATCGTGGGTACATATCCATGGCGAAGAGTTTGATAAGTGTGCAAAACACCGTGTTGCAACAATTCGGGAACATGATAGAAACCCAGATTGTCAATTTCGCGAAGTACGACTTGAGCAGTCCGCGCTGTTTGGTACGACTTTGGTTCAACACCATGGTGTCCATCCCGAACTGGAATCGAGATTCAGGGGTTATGTATCTACTAGACGTGATAGTGAGGGCTTCATTTTTTCACCAAGACGCGTTAGAAGTGGCTAATACTATCTTAAAAGAGCTGCTGCAGAGTAACGCGGCACAGGATCAAGGTGGTACGATTAGTTCCATAGTGAAGTGGGTATCGAATTCGAGTACCAGCCCGTGTTTGATTTCGGGCTCTCTGGCGACTTACACATGGCTCGCCTATCTGGTTATAGAACTAGAGTTTGAAGATCGCGAAAAACGAACGGGGTTGTGGCGGGAGCTACTTTTGCAGCTGAAGAACCAAAAAGGAAAAGTCAGTGTAGACGCGGCTCTCAAGGTAAGTGAGCGGTACCGAGAGACGGTTTAAGACATATAAAAAATTGCAGAAGGCCGCATCTATGTTAAAAGTGCCAGGGTTCACGTCGACGTACCTTTCTATCTATAGATGGGCCCAACAGGCTCTTGATTCCCCAATCGATCACCCTTTGTTGCCGCTATTGTGGCAGAAATTCTTCGTTTTGTACTTAACGCGTCTACCTTTGGCTAGTAGTACCGATGACGGGTGCGTAGGTGAAAAATTCTTCGACGGTTTGGTCAATTTTTCCTTCTTAAAACGCATTAAACGCAAACTACAAGAAACCCTCGATAGCTATAGCGAACTGATGAACACTGAAGAGGATCCTTCTAGGAAACAGTACCTAGAAACTTGTGTCAAGTACGTTGCGACTATCAGATTTACCATTTCTGTCTTTAGTTTGTTTAAAGCTTTCAATGCGTGGTTGGAGGAACCAAGATTGCAAAAAGGGAATCTTCATTTATCGTCTTTGCCTCCTCTGTATCTACCCAATCTTCTGGCTTTCATCATCCAAGGCAGCAGTGTATGTATTCGGGGTACCCTTCGGGTCAACAATTGTCAGTACTGTTTTAGACCCCTTGGTACGAATACGCAGACTATGATCGGATAAAATCCGAGCAATCCGAGTGTGTCCGAATTTGGCAAGCTTCCAACTTCCGCCACAAAAGCAACATTAATAAACCGCTACTCAATCCGGGGAAGTCCATGGAGAGTTCCGACCCCGTCGAACGCATCCTGCGCCGTCTGACGGTATACGAAACCCCCAAAGATCCTCCTCCAATCAAAAATCACGCCCCTATCGTTCCCGTCATTGATTTCAGCAGCAAGGAGGCGATGTTCAACTCTTTGGATCAGTGTTTCAAGACTTTGAAGCAGTTTGCTCAGTAAGTTTCACTCAGATGATGCCGGTTCTAGTCTTATTATCGTTGCACTAGAATCGGCACTACGTTATGCGTGCGTGACAATTCAAATTTACCGCCACAAAAAATGTATGGTTATTTTCTAGTAATCAAACTTTAAAAGTTTCGGAACACAAAGCGCTGGATTGTTCATACCAAGAATTAATACCTCAGTTGTACCGTTCCGTTTTGAACAAAGTCAGCAAAAAGGTTCCTTGTAAAGGCCGGAACGAAACGGTCAACTGTTCAGGGGCGGCTCTTATTGTTCTCGAGATGCAAGAAGCCAGAGTGAACGAGAGGATTGACCATCAAATACAGACGAATAGGAATGCGTATGAGTCACTTCTAGCGAAGTCGTTGCAAGCCCCAGCTAGCGCTCTCTGTACGGCGTCTGTCACCATACAACAAGCGATAAAGTAGGTTTAAGTAAAGAGGTGACTTAAGTCTATAGTGGTTTTAGGGTTTTGCAGGCCCAAGTTCGATGTAATCCGGCGTGTGCGGAACTCGGAAGCGACCTATTTTATCACATTTTGTCTTTGGTTAATGACGAAACGGGTGCCTATTTACCTACAAAGACACTGTTCGCTTCAAGTTTGGAGAAGTTGGGTCAGTCGCATATTTGTGGGGTGGAGTTCGAAATGCCCCGACTTTTGGAACGAATACTTAAGGAACCCGCGCTAGGAGGGTATTTAGCCCCTCACTTCTCCCCAAGTAACATAGGTACGGCGAACTTGCTTTATATGTACTCAACGATTTGTCAAGAAATTGGAAGTAACTATGACGTCGCATTCGCACTTCTGTCAAAGGTAGTAGTAGTGAAGTACTAGCGAGTTGTTAATGTTGTTTTTATAGTTTGAGATTGACAAGTGGTTGCGTTTAAAGGAACCAAGGTTGAGTCAAAGGGGTGAATACATCCAGTGCGTAATTAGAGCTTTGACGATGTTGGGGTACGAACCACCCGTCGAATCTTTAATGTTGCACGGACTCTACCGAAAGCACTTACTAACGGTGTTTGAATTCCAATTCCCGGAACACTACGGAGAAATTTTAATAAACCTGTTGAAAGCGAGTAATGGGAATGCTGACACTTCCCTTTTAGCCAAGAGTGTTTGGTTAGATACCATTAATTCTCTAGCGAGACCTGTGCAAATCAATTTTAAAAGCCCCTTGAAAGACCAGTTGAGGCAGTACGCCCAACATCAGAAGATGTTGCAGCATCAAGAGCTGCTCGAAACCGCGGAACTCTTCTCTAAGCACTTCACCCAAGAGCGACTGCAGTACGGTCTTTATGGCCTCTACCCGAAATGTCGGAACTATATCGACATTTTTGTCATTCTTCTCGGGATGACGGGTCACGGGCTCATCACCAGTAGCCTGAACACCCATCAAGGTCTACTCGGTGACGAACTCTCCCGGAAAATCTGGCCTTACTTAGTCAACATGTTCGCCCCATGGATCATCCCGTATTCCATGCAGAACTTGAAAGACAACATGGCTTCCTGGATCCAGCAGCTAGCCGACGACCGTTCCATCCTCCTCCCTTGGATCCCCTCCGATAGTCCTCTCGCCCAAAAAATCATCCGAGTGTTTTACGAATGCGTGCAGTTCCTCATTTACACGTTACCCGCTTGCGGCAACATCCTGTCCTTCATTTGGCAATGGTACGTAACGGGTTTCGCCCACAGTGCCGTCAAAGACCACATTCTGGGACCCATCCACCACACGTTTTTGGCATTCCCATGGGAGCACTTCTGGCCTTCGCTGACCGATTTGGAGTTCATGCTGCGGGTGATCGACCAGTACTTGCCCGAGTGTCATTCGTTCCTAGGCCACATTTTCATATCAGTGCCTTGGTCGGCCTGGATGACCAACTTCAAGGTGTCCCCACCCCAGGTGAAAAGCCGGGTTCACCTGTGTTTCCTCAACCTATTGGTGAAGCTGTCGAACGAGCCCAACGTGCGCAATAAGTATGCGGAGAAGGCCAAGTCGTTGCTGGTGGAAGCCGAAGGGTTCGAATGGGGAGTTATCGAACCGGTAGTGTTCCAACACGTTATGGATTGGTACGTTCTGAGCTGTGATCCCGTTGTGATTTTCAAGAGTGACCCTCTTGATCTCGACTTTAGAGTTTTACAGTAAGTATCACAGGTTTGAGAGGGCGCAAACTTAGTTGTTGTTGTTGTAGCTTTCTTAAGACTGTTTCTGGCTATGACAAAGCGGTGGATAACCCTACCGCAGATAGTCTGACGAAAAGATTGATTTACGTGAAAAGCTACGTCAAACTGGTGTCAGTTTACGTGAATAGGCATAAGTCAGTCGTGACGACCAAAGAGAATGATATAAAGGCTGTGATAACCCAACAATTGACCCATTTGGATGGGGTCGTGCGAAGTTCAAACGAATTCAACGTGATTCTGAGGGAGGTGGTACAAATTGTGAATATACAAAACGTGTGTCATTGCGCTTTGAAGTGTTTTGATTCGTGGGTACTTAATAAGAGTGGAGATGGGCTAGTGGTGAGGGGTCTACTTCAAGTTTTAGGTACGTCGATTGGAGATAGCGAGGCTCTTGGATTTTTACTAGAGTCCACGATTACTAGTTACTTCCAAAATAGCAGTAAGTTGACGCGGTTGAGCTCGTTCCGTTTAAGATCAGACTTAGTTTCCGGTACTTTCAACCCGTCGTGGTCGGAAGTGGGACAGCTTTTGACCATCACTGCTACGAAACAAACAGAACTCGAGCAAATCCTTCTAAACCGAGGCTACATTCTGACGTTGAACGCGCTGTTCATCCAGCGAATCGAAAAGTGCCACGATGCCGAAGGACTCCTTAACTTGTCGATCGGATGGGTCCAGAACCTAAAAATAGGTGGCGAAAACTCAGAGTCCAAAGTACCCTTACTCTGGTTTGGTATTCTCCGCCTAGCTCTTCTTCATTGCGAGAAAGACGAAGCCACAACTGGCATCATTTTACACAGATTCGCCAAAATTCTTCTCCAGTTGTCGGAAGACAAGGGTAGTTCCCGCTGGGGCAAGGGTTTGCTGAGTGCGATCGGGATCAGCAAACAGGATTCGATTTCTATAAAGTATTTGAGATGGTTTTGAGTTTTTCGATGGTTGTTTGTTCAGTTTTAGGTTCTTGTGTCGGGCGCTGGGAGGCTACATTTTGGCTCAGCTTCCAGAGATGAAGGGCGAGCCGCAGGTCGTGCGCAAAAGTGCGTACGCCCCGGCTAGAGTAGGTCAAGCGGGCGGGAACAACGAGTGTGCCAAGGTTCTGATGAGTCTGGGGTTCGGTCAGTCGCAGGGGAAGATCAAGGAGTGCGAGGAGCTAGCGCTTAATAAAATCCAAGATGCGGAAAATTCGATGCACAACGCTTCGAAGTTTTTAGAGCTCTTAGTGAAACAGTTTTATATGAAACCGTATCTGAAAACAGTATGATAAGCGTTGCTATGTTATAATTTTTATATATGTTGTAAGAATAATAATAGCTTTGAACAAGCAAATGAGTGTTTTAGTGGTCCTAAGTGTTAAAATTTGCTAGAAGAAGGTGAAATTGCCGGGGGTCTTTGCTAAGGAGGTTGAGCATCATGTACCCAAGTCGAAATTTGTTAAAATAGATAGCGTGGATTGGGGTTTGGTACGAGTGCCCCGGAATGCAATTTCGGTCGATTATCGGTGGGTCGATCGAGGGTCCGCGCAAGCTAACCGATTTACATTTGTAGAACATAATAGCAATTAAAAAGGTTAAATATGAGCGAGCCCGTCCGATCTTTCGGTTTGGTTCGTCCGTTCGAAACCCGTTTGCGAAAAAAGGAGCAAAAATATCAATTTGATATCAGCTTATTAGTACATGCCTGAAAACAACGGCCATTCATTTATTTCGCTTACTTTATTTTAATCGCCAGCAAATATATTTTAAGTTAAAAGCTTACGAAGCGACCGCCTATAAATAATTAAAAGAAAATAAAAACTGCGCTCTTTCTCTCATTAGAACATCTCGGTAGGGTCGTGATTTATACGCATTTGTCGTCGGCGGCGACCAATAAAAACGCAATTTTCGCACACTTTTCGCCGCGCATTGAGGCGGCGTTAAAGCGTGCACCGTACAGAGGCGGTAATTAACGCGGATAAAGCTCTCATTGCCGCACTCACAATGAGCAATCAAGGAGGGAATTTCGCCGGGACGGTGTAAAATCGATGCCTCCGAAACGGTCAACGAGACCAAAAAATAAACGGAGAAGAGCTGCCCCACTCGACAATACGATTAAAAGCTAGCAGCGTCGTTAAAAACTCAATGTGCCGGGCTGGCATCTATATTGTGGCCAATTACCCGATCAAGGTGTTCGGTCTTCGTCTAGAGGCCGGTGGGCTTCGTTAACCGACAGCTTCCACCGTATTGTGCATAGGCTTTGTGCTGAAACGGATGGGAGAACCATTCAGCATAGGAATCCGGACCATTGTCGGACAGGGGATGCGATTCGCCGAGAGGACGCTTTGTTTGCTGCTAGCGCAAGTGCTACATTGTTGTCGCGATCGAGGTCTGCGTTCGAGGATTGCTGATGGAGGAGAGAGTTTCAGAATTGGTAGCTTTCTGAGTTTCAAAAAGTCGGTTTAAAAGGCAAACGTTACTTAACAGGGATTTTTTTTTTATTTCCGTAGTCTTCCAGTAGTCTTCGTTTTTTTAAAAAGACAAAGGTTTTTAAGTGGTTTTATTAAAAATCCGTTGCTAAAAAGTTAAGTTAGTTAAAGTGAGAATGTCTCAAAATTCCCTTAGATGATACTACAATAGTAAAATGATGTTATTTTTGACGTTCTTTTGAAGTCAGGTCAGGTCAGGTCAAGCTAAATTATAAGTCTACAAGGTCATGATTTAAAAATTTATCTTATTTTTGATTTTGGATTGTAACTTTGACAAAAATATGATAACATAATCTAGGAATATGTAAAAAACTATGTCTACTAGAAACATATTCTAAGTATTTCTAAAAAAATATAATGAAATTTGTAAAAAATTATGTACCTACTTATATTATTAAGAAAGTCATTTTCTTGCCCCTGTAGGGTAGTGGTTCCGTAATTCATTTTGAGTCGAGGCGATAATCGTAGAAACAAAAATGTGGTTGAAATGTGACGTAAACACAACTACTTCTACATAAATTATAAATGTTGTTCTACAATTTTTGTTATGACAATGTCTATATATTAAAATGAAAATATTATTGTATTAGTAGGACTTAAATAAATTAGGTAAATAAAATAATGTTTTTATTTAAAAATAAAGTTAATTGAAGCTCGTATAAATTGTTCTAAAATAAAAGTATATCACTAAAGCACAAGTAAGTTAAGTAACTTTGCCTCACGAAGCACATTTTTAACAAATATTTATTTCATGAATGTTTGTAAGATGTCACTAAATTTCTAGAATAAATAAATCGTTTTCATTTTCTCTAATTATGAAATATGGAAGAAGAATGTTTATTCTCCATATGCCTCCATATTTCTCCAGATCATGAAATCAATTTTAATATATGATTAGAATTTCAAAAAAACATCTATTTTGCATTCTACGACCCAAAAAATACCAAGGAAACTATCAAATTATAGGTAGAAATACTAGAAATCATATTTTGGTCGAATTTTATGAGTTCTGAAGTATAATTCGACTTAATTTGCCAAAAGCAGACGATTGGTTAACTTTTCGAATTCTAGAGTTTAGAGTTTGGAGATTGAAGGAATTCGTAAAAAAAACTTCAGAAACGTTGCTTTTCAAGCGCTTTCTTGTGGTTTCAAGCCTATCAGACACCCTAGGGGCCCGAAAATACCAAGGAAACCATCGAATTTTAGCTAGAAATCATCTGAATCTATCTTTAAAATTTTGATTTTTTTGTACAATAATTCGGATACTTCTCGTAAATATGGTCATATTATTAAAGAGAAAGCAAGATTGACTTAAGAATTTCGAAATCAAGTCATCAAGTTTTTAGAATGTATAGTTGGTTCACGTTACATTAACCCTTTCAAGGTCACCACATTTATATTTTTTTGACAGTGTGGTCCCTGTGTACGTAACCAACAAGGGTCGATTTAGTAACCATGTCAAAGATTATGTCACTGACGGTTATGTTTTCTTAACCTCTTCCCCTAATAATTTTCTTTTTGTCAAGCATGATTTGAAAATTTGACGTTTTAAAAAACTGACAAGGTGCCAAATGTTTTCAGTCATTAAACATCTAGATCAAAAATCCCTAATGAGTGACGCGCAGGCATCCAATATTATCCTAAATTTGACAGGGTTATTGTAAAGCGAACTAAATTTGGAACAGATTCACATGTGCACGATAATCCCAACGATAATAATCTTAAAACATATGCAAAATTTCAGGTCAAACGGTTTTGTACTTAAATTTTGAAATTTTTGTTGCAGAATCTATTTATTTTTTTCAAAAATGTATAATATGCATTATAAAATCATCTTACCTCCATGTGGTCGATTAATAAATTACAAACGTGGACGCAACTATGTTGTACAATTTACATAGAACTTACTTGGAAAAATGTTGAGATGACGTCAGCAGATATTTGGTGGGGATGATCAGAGAAATTCTGCAAAGACACGATATTTTTAAAACCCATCTAAAATTGCATGCAGTAGTTTCGGAAATCTTTTGTCTAATAAAATCGTCAACGGACGAGAGACAGACGGAAACGGAAGATTTTTTCATGTTCTAGGAGTTATGAAACGCCGAGAAGACATGAAATTTGTCATTCCTTGGACTCGGTTTCATAAACCAGATCTATTTTTCTGCGTAAACCATCAAAGAACAAAATTTATTGAACAGAGACACAACTTGTCTATTGCTTTTGTCGGAAGAGCTTTGGTACGATAAATACACCAAGCCCTCCTACAACTTTCTTTTCGAGTTCTCTTCCTGTATCAATTAGTTCGTGTTGGGTTTTCGTAAAGTGAAGTTCAAAAGTGTAAAAGTGTTTTAAGTTGTAATTTTTTCTATTTTCTTAGAGAGTATAACATTTGTCAGAATCTGTCTTATCTTGGAAAATACAAGCCCCGCCCACCGGCCCTCTATTTTCTTAAAGGATATATGATTTGCCAAAATCAGTATTATATTTACAAATACTATCCGTACCCAACCGCCTTCTATTTTCTTATGCTTTTATTTTTCTCATTTTAATCCATAATTTTTTCTCCGCCTATATGTATTTATATATTGACTTTCCTATTTGCAGTAGCCAAAATTAAAACTGTGGCATATAAAGTAATGATGCAATGTCATTTTCAAGTCAGTGTCAACTCTATGGTTTGTGTCACAGCCAACTACACATGCACTGAAAAGGCCCTAAGCCTCAGCAGCGCCCCACACACCATGCCATGTAATATCTTAAGGAAAACTGTACCAACCAGCTTAAATAAATGTATTTTTGACTTGACAACTACACATCAGAAAATAAATGCTCGCATGCCATTTTTTTAAGTCTGTGGTATTTTTTTGTATTCAGTGTATTTTTTGTTGGTTTATTATTAAAAGTTTAGAAAAATGTCTATGTACAGTCGTGGCCAGAAAATCTTGGACGTCAGTGGAGCGTCATTCCACTGTCAAAGTGTTAAACATCTTAACCTTATTTAATTAGTTTTGTCATTTTTGACTGCCGGCATGCTAACACTGGATATGATGTTTTCTGGGTTTTCTGGGCCCAACTATATTTTGTGGGTTTTTATGATGCTATTCAATGATAAGATTCCATAAAATAGGAAAATAGCTAAAAGCAGCAGTGGAAATAAGTAGCAGTAGCATAGTTCCAGTTTTGAATTAGTGACTGTTGAGAAAATGGTATTTTGTTTGTATGAATATGAAAAACCGTGCACATTTATGATATATTTTTAGTTTTTGCTTAAATATTGCCAAAAAACTTCCCCCAAACGCATTAAATGTAATTGTTAAAAATTTTAGTATCGTCAATAGGATGTAAAATTGCTATCAACGGGTATTTTGGGCTCCTGTAGAAAATTTGTAGATATTACAATGTACTCCAACTCAAAAATCCACCTCCTGTTGAATTCAGTTAAAAGCAACCCTGATTATATAGTTTAATTATTTTAAGATTGGCAGTACAAAGTTGAGAGCTTCTTGTCCACGGATTATCAATTTTTGAGTTAAAAAAAAAAAACTGTCAATGAAAATGAGATGCAACATAACCAATTATTTCACACTAGAATAAATCTGTGGTGTGGGTGATTGTGATTTTTTTCAGGTTGGTAACATATTTAAAATTTGATGGTTATCAAAATGACATTTAGAGCACCAAGTCATCTTCTCATCACTTTTGTAAAGCGCATTCGGCGTTGTCAAAGTTGACAACTATCAACTGACATGTTAACATTGCTGCCAATAATTCAGAATTGTCAACACAAAAATTTACTTCCGTCATTAATAGTCACCCGCTATTTTATTGGAAAATCTGACTAATCAAAATTAGCTTTCCTCTC